GATTCCATGGGGATATTAAGAAGACCATGTCTATTCACCTTCACAAATGCATTTGTGAACAGGGCTCTATATCAGCTGATGCTGAAAGTGGCCTTTGAGCAAACAACAAAACAACCCTTGAACGTAACCACATTACATGTCATCAACCTCAGAGAAGCAACCAGACGAGAAGCATAAAGAGGAACACTGCAGGAGGAAGTGAAGTGAGCAAGCTAGTTTTAAAAAGTCTTGAGACAACCTCTGGGGCTTTAGTTGTACTTCAAAAGGCCCCTGAGGGAGCATGCAAGACAGTTTTCTTACGAGCATGTCACGAATATCAAACATGTACTGCATATGTTCAGAAACAGCCTGAATGATTCACGTTGAAGCAGAACATACAGGTTTAGGGGTGCAGGTTGTAGCTGAATTCCTCTGCAGTGGGGACAGGAGCACAGAAGAACTGCTGGCTCATCAGGTCAGTCAGGTCTTTGCAGACTCCCAGCAGTGCACAACAAATGAGGCTACATATGAACCAGATGTTCAACAGTACAGCTGGGACTGGTGCGAAAAGATCCACACAGAGTGCAGTACAATGGAGAGAAAGTTAGCAGAACAGGACAGGGACACTGACCGAACAGCCAAGCAGGCTAGCATAGTGGAGATGAGGGGATTACAGACTGTCACACTGACAGGCTTCCTAACCCCACATGTCCTGGGCTTGCCCTATTTATCTCTGTTACAGACACAAGGCTTGCTGACTGCTGTAACACTATGCCCTCTTAGGAAGCTAAAAACAGCCAATGAGGGCAACCTGCCTTGACTCAGTGCCAGGAGAGAAGCTCAGGTAGAACCCAGTGGGAAGATTCAATTATACTCTTGAATACACCGTCAGAGTAGATCTGAGAAACTGGGCCTACAAAGGCTTCAACTGCGACAGGGGCGCTGCAAAGACTCACACAGGACAGCACTGTGTCTGGAGCCAGCACAGTGTTTGTTACCTGGGTGTAGTGGGAGCCAGGGTCTCTGTCTGCTGAGAGGGGCCCGTGCTTTCAGAGTCAATCAGAGTAGCCAGCACCACAGTGGCCTCTAGGACCATATCCTCCACAGAGAAGCACACAGGCCTGAAAACAACATCAACATCATCACTGACAAATATCTGACAGTGACATAAATATAATCACATTATCTCTTTTTTTAAATTCCAACAGTCTTTCACAGTTTTACCAGCCAAACCCACCATACCTGGTCACTAAAATGGCTGGTAATATAATCAGGCTCACCAGACAAAAACAAAACAGATGCTAACAGCTAATAACCATGGCAAAGACTTACCTTCCAGCAGCACCAAAGTGAACCGACACTGGAAGGCAATGTGTCTCTGCAAAGGACAGTAAACCCTAAAAAAAATAAACAGAACAGCAGCAAATTCACTGTCACATACTAAGATATGCTTGTGTGCATTCATGTCAAGACTGTGACATTTTAATAGCTGATCATTCTGAGGCACATTTACAATGATCAGGCTCAAGAAAAATATCAATGCTAGACTAATTGAGGCCGACTAAAACGTTAAGCCTGGCCTTTAATCCATCCAAACCCGATTTTCCAAAACCGACAGGAACAAGAAGACTAGGCTGGCTAATGAGGAGCCTCACAGCGGGGTGTTCAAGAAACATTCCAAGACATTAGGGGCAAGAGTTGTGGGTGTTAATTCAGGTCAAGTCTCATTAACCGGACTAACTAAAGGACTGCTAAACCACATTTCCAAACGGCCAACCAAGTCCTTTTGTTTTTTAAATAAAGACACAAGAATGCAATTTAAATTGGGGTGTGTTCATTTAGACACTATAACAAAGAGAACGCTGTTCTGGAAATGACATTATAGTTCTCTGAGTTTCAGTGTTTTGCTGTTTAAGATGGACTTAAGTTGAACCAGCCCTTAAATAACACATTCCTATTTGGTTTCAAAGTTACACATTTTATAAGGAACCATGTCATGTGTAGCCTATAATTACTTTTTATGTAGTGGTATAATATGCGTCACTTAGGTCACACTATCTTTGCTATAAAGCCGAGGCAGAGCACTGAGGGGAAAGTTCACATGGAACCGATACAGAGAGCCGGGTACAGGGGCTTCAGGACACTCCAGTATCCAGATTACAGGACCGAAACATGACCTCTTAGACATGAAATGCTCCTGGTGAGCCGGTCACACACATACCTTCTGCACACACACACACACACACACATAATATTCTCATGTGACAGGATAAAGAGAGCCCCCAAAAATAACCCTGTTACCCTTAACTCCTTCAGACAGAAGGTTATGTCCGAGTCCACTCCGACCTGAAAGTAGTCAAACTCGTCTAGGTGTAAGGACATCTCAGTGTACATCGTCTTCATGTGATCTGTGACAGTAGTAAATCCAAGTCAAATAGTATCTGCATGACATTTTTAGCGCTTGCTTTAATGTGGTTGAAGAATTAAATATGTGGTATTTGTATCATTAGGTTAGGTTGACAAATGTCAACCTCAAAGCTGGTGCAAGAGCGACTTTTACACAGTCTATGATGTCTGCAACTCACAGTTTTGTGCTGGGCCCGGGCCAAATCACAGTGTAATGTTAGCTCACCATTTCCCCCTTCATAGTAGTTTCTCAGACTGACACTCAGAGGAGTCATGGACAGAGTAATTTCCTCCTGGGACACTGGGAAATGCATCACCATATCACCAAGAAGCCTGCAGAGGCAAAACAAATGCAAACCCACACAGAATCAACCTAAGCATTAAGCAGTGCGCTGTATGCCAGTCCTGTGCTACTGATAGATGATGGTTTTCCTAAGTCTATATACTTTGGGAATTAACATTTATGTCCTTGTCAGTCAGGGTGATTAAACTGAATTGCACTGAACTGAAGGTGTGTGTGTGTCTCTGTTTCTGTGTGTTTCGGGGTACTTATCAGACTGCTGCCCAGAGTCAGCTGAGAGAACAAAATATTGTAAACACCTTTGAATACACTTAACTGCTGAATCCAGCTGGGAGCTACCATATACCTTATTAATTTCACAGTAAATCCACTTGTAATGAAAGGAGAAAGTCAAAGGTTGACTGAGAAGCCTTAAGAGAACCAAGATTTTTTTTGCGTAAAAAAGGGTCTTACTCAATGATAGAAATGTGCTTCTGAAGTTTTGTTTGTGGACTATGTGATAGAAGGTGGAGGTTCTAACTTGCTAACCTGGCAGGAGCCTTCAGCACATTAGGACAGAGGTGTGAGGCAAACACCGCCTGCAGAGCCTCACTTTCCTGGAAACTTAGGTTGTGGGTTTTAGTGATGCCTATCACAAAAACAGACAGGATATTTAGAGCACACTGCCACCAAGTGTTGACAATATGCAATGCAGTGTCTGAAGCCTGGTGTGAAAGAGGTCATTCTGAACATGGTAAAAGAAAGAGGGTTCACAAATAGAAGTCCATTAAACAAACTGATTACAAAAAAAAACTATTTCTTTAAAATCAAATATTTTTTCCTTTAGCTGCAGCTAGCTTATAATACAAAATGCAATGTTTCTTACCATGCCGGCAGAAAAACTGGATGATCACTCGGTCACTGGGTGTGCTAATTGATATCTGACATCGTTCCACATTACGCTCAATGGAAGTCAAACACCGGAAAAGAGGTAGAACAGACTTAAAAACAAACAGACATGATTAGACAAGACTGTCACCACTGTTAATCGTTTTAAAGTGTCTTAAAGGGAGAACAATATCATGTCATAAGTGTATGTAGTAGTTCAGTTCTGGTTTTATTATTCCACCACTGTCTGCTTTATCCTGAAAAATATATTATCCTTCCTGTGCAGTGAGCTGTGATATCACTTCAAGCCCTGTACAAATGAATAACCAACATGACTGATATACCTTCATGAGCAGTTTGCATTTGATTGTTTCACTGCCCTGCTCTGATACTGGTCCCAGGCTGTAGTGCTGGAAGAACAGCGGCGAGAAGAGGAAGCAGGCATATGCAGAATGAGCAGAATTCACTGATCTCAGGGCCAGCTTTAAGGCAGAGGGAGAGATTCAGTCAAGAAGCTGCTTCTTGGTACCATTGCCTATAGGGAGAAAGGATGTCACAGGGCCCCAACATCTAGGGAGGGCTCATACAGAGGCTTCATGTAATATAAAATTAATTCAATGTTTTAAAGAGGAGGGGGCAAGCAATAATGTGATCATTCAACTACACTGTTTCCCTTCCAGCGTTGCTTGGTGCTGCTCACCCCTCTGACCATGGGATCCAACCACAGTTCATCTCCAATCCGTGACAGGGCATGAACGGCCTTCCCAAAGGCTGCAACACAGCAAGGTGCCGCCAGAGTTCAAGGTTAACAACATACTACTGTTTACTTGTGTCACTAGCTTTAACTAGGCCAGCAGTTTCTTACATAGGGTCAACTGCTGGCAGGCAATGGCTGAAAAATAAATGATAACGTCGCTAAATTAGTGGCTAACGTAGTTAAAGTTAGTTAGTAGGAAGCTAAGTTAAGCTCGCATTGTTGTTGTTTTTATTTATTAATAAATTAGTATTTTATCTCATCAGAGCTGCCACAACTTATATACAGCAGATTAAACTTGTTTATATTTCACTAATACTGTTTAGTATTAGCTTACCTTTCACACAGTTTCCTTCAAGAAGACAGTCCATGTTCAGTCCAACTCACGAGCTCATCATCAGACACGAGCAAACAGCGCGCGCAGCAGATGCTAACATGATACATGCTAATTAGCTTAATAAATACAGTGATGCTGATCTAAGGGCTAAGTTGGCTTTGAGGGTGTCCTCCCCTCTTAGGCATAAATGTAATCATTGTATCCACTCCAGGTGAACGGGCCCAAGATACCTCAGGTTACCATAAGGTCTTTATTTATTGTTTTCTTTTTTAACAGGGACAGGGCACATTAATAAACATTGCTGTTAATGCACAGGAGTTAGCCAAAAGGCATCAGTAACAGTTCCTGGATACATGTTCAGGCTATAGTAGTTTTAATAATAGTTATATATATATATAGTGTCAATGGTTCAGTCACACTAGAAAGAACACACTAAAACACTTACTGGATTACTTAATGAGCACACACAGCAATGATTTAAAAAATAGCATATTAATAAAGTGTATAATTCAAAACCATGTTACACTGTCAGGTACAAATTAAAACAAATAATCATTGATAACTGCTTCAGAACATGTAAATATGATGTGTACTGTAACACTTAATGCAGTAGTGCTTGTGTGTAGTTCTGTGTAAAACTGACTGCACACAATTCTCTGTTAGGGACATTAAAGTCATATTTGAACATTTCTGCAATAATACAACAGGTGTTGATACACAGATCAACATAAACATTTACTATCTATACTATAAGGTTGTAGTAAACCCAGTTGCCATCATATATGTCATCTGTTGACTATTTTTGGAAGTATGACATCAGAATGTGCAGTGCTGCTGCTGCTGTTTCCTTTCCTCTGCCCTTGAGGCTTTGCCCTTGCCACATCCTTCTCTGCATCCTTTGTAAACACACTATTTTCTCTATGCTGATGATCTCCATACCTCCTTCTGCAGGTGGGATTCTGACCTAGGAGAAACAAAACACAACATGAGATGGATGATAGTGGTCAGGTTTATGACTGAGACATTAAGATACACACCTGACTGAACGCATGTGCGCAGCACTTTGAGATAGTGCTGCTTCATCTGCTGCCTCATGTGCTCTGTACTGTAAATGTTTGCGATACTGCAAAGGTAGCGCCTCTGTCCGGCTGTAAGGGCTGGATGCTGAGACAGAAACAAGAACTGATGTGATTATACGTGACAGAATGAGAGTAACCTTGTTACATAGGAGGAATGTTATAAATATCTCATTCAAACCATCTTCAAATCGTCCCTTGACAGTAAAAATACCACAGAGACAACATGGTTACCTGTAAGAAGGGTGCAGACATCAGAGATTTGGGAATGTGTATCGTCTTCATGTGCTGACCGCCTGCAGACACATTTGTGTGTGTTCCTCTGTACATCTCCCTCACTTGCTGACATTCAAAGCCTTGCCAAATGCAAAATGTAACAAAACACAACACATTTTCTTTTTTCTGACAGTTAAGATATCTGTGGTGTTATTTAAGCAGCACATTTTAAGACTCTTTAATTGCAGTGTATCATAGCACACATTGAACTGATGACCTAAGTCTAGAATTCATCTCTTTAATGTATTGGTAAAAGTTTAAGGAGCTTTCACTACACAAAGATTACTATTACTATTTTTTTTTTTTACTTGTGTTTTTCAAGTTCATTCTACTCTATTCCTCCTCTCGACTACATTTCAGGGGCAAGTTTTGTGCCTTTTACTCCATATTTATTTGAAAGATATAGTTACCTTTCAGAATATTTTACACACCAAACTAATATGCTTATAAAACATGATTTTTTTTTTTAAAGTACCCAACAGTATAGTAAGAATTAGCTCCGCCTTGACTACTGTAACTGCTACATGTAAATCCATCTGTAATCATAATCCAAAAATACATGAACATCTGAATGGTGCCATTCTGCAAAGCTATAATTTGCTTATTGTACATTTACTGAAGTAGAATTTAGACTGCAGGACTTTTATTTAAATAAGCAACCAAGAAGTTTAGTTTGTCATCAACCAGAAAGAAAACTATTACATTTTAGAGAATGTTTGTGTTCAAATAATCTATTTTCTAATTCAATAATGAAAACAGGTTTACTCATGTCTGGTTAGCATTTAAAGGAATATTTGACTCACCATCTGTGCATCTGTTGTTAGATTCTGTAGTCCTAAAAATCAAGAATCTCAGTTTGAAAATAAAAAATTCCATCATCTGTATTCATCCATTAAAACTGTTAACACTTATGTTGTGGTCTTACCTCTTTAGGATGTGACCGCTTCCATTTTTTAACAGGTTTTCTTTTTTCAGCTGCTCAACAAATGTAACCCGCTTTCTCATTGTTACTTACAATCCCAAAATGTCCTGTCGATATGTCAGAGAGGTTGCTAGCATCTTTATCAGCTCAGTATGTGTTGCAGCCAGCAGAGCCCATTAGTGTGAAAGGAAGCCAGCCCTGAAATCTGACACTATTCCCAGGGTTCCAATTACAGAGCAGAGGTCTAATATACTTGAACCCAGAGCGTGTTCTCATCTAAAATGTAAAACACAAACAAAATTACAAGCCACTCTGTTTACACACTTTATTGAGCATCATGTCCAATATACATTGCATTGACACAAAATGGAAAGAAAAACAACCCAAAACAAATAATGGCGTTAGGGCGGATTACCTGGACACACCATTTTCAGGGCGTATTGCTTAATGACATTTCAAACGCACCGAATCTGTGCAAATACAGTGAACACCGGTCAGAGGAGGTCATGGTAGGTTAGAAAATTCTGACTTAAAAAGGTAATGTCAACAGCAGTTATGTGATCATCAAGTCTACAGAAATCTACTAACTGTACACATCACATTCACCCAGAATGTACTAACAATGGTATCATATTTAAACATACCCCACTCCTTCAAACCTGATTGCATGCGCCAAAAGATGGTTAGCTATTTTTCAATGTCAGTCACAGATCAATCATGTATAACATAATTCAAAATCGATGTCATCATGGCTTTAATAGTCAGCAACACCATCAATTAAAGTGAGCAAAAGCCAATGGTTTCCAGACTCCACCCAAACTGTGTATATCCTTCAAAAATAAAACCTAGATGCAGGATTGTGTTCGTTTCCCCACAGAACACTAACACTTTTCTAAGTGGTGCGTTAACTTCAAGTCTCTATCAAGAATTACAACCCAAATTCAGTGATTAAGTAAAGGTGATAAATATTATCTAAGTATGCACCAATCACAACTCAAGATGTTGATAGAATATAAGAGCATTACTCAACAATCTCCCCAAAGTCCTCAGAGTCTAAACCACGAGTGAATGTGACTTACACATCATCATTTACCCACACTGATCGAAAGCCACAACAAACGGAGTAAGAACGACTATCCTAACTACTATGGAGCCCCTACAATAACCCATGTTAATAGATCAACAACTCTAACAACCATAAACCCTTGTCCAATTTATTCCTTTCAAATTGAAGTAAGCTCAGATGCCAGTTAACCAGAACACACGCAGAATAGTCACAGCTTAGGTTATTTTCACAGACTGTGGTTTGGTTGTCCATGATTTATAATAACGGTTGATCTTCACTGACCGAGAGGGCCACGTGTTAAAGGGTCAGAAACATTAACAGATTGCCAATCATGACCCTAATGAATTTTGATCCTGAGAAGTTGGCACAAACCTTCCATTACCATTAGCTATGCTTGTGTGAGTCAACATATTATAAAACAGTGACTCTCAAATCACTGAGTAAGCCATTCCATTTACATCTACAGCTAGCAACAATACATAACGGAGCTGTTTAAGGAGATCATGCAGGTTTGAGAGTCATGGTTTTATATAATTCTTAGACATACACTAGTATAAGAAGAAAATGCTAACAGGAGGCCGTTTCTCAGAAAAATAGACTGTATGAAACTCCTTATCAGTTCCTCTAAAAGTTCTCAACCGACCCTCTAAACAACAAGCACACTGTGAGGAGGTGAAGCCAACAAAAGGCAACGGTGATTCAATGACAGTGTTGAAAATAATCACATCTATTGACAGAGATTTGTTGGGCCGACATTAATCTGGTGGTTAAGTATTCAGTAGGGAGGACAAGTGATGACCTAATGGTAACGGGTTTTTGTTTTGTTTTACACAATCTTGACCACTAAATTGCATAAGAAACCTGGTATAAAGTAGAAACTGTTCAGCAGCAGATAAAAAAGCAAGTTAATTTACAGTAGTGACATATCTTACATCATTAATTTTTCAAAATAAATAACATTAAATATACAATTCCAGGTAGGAAACAGGATAATTTCGCTGGTAGGGTTCTCAAATTGGCTCATCTTGCGGAAAATGACAACCGTTCACAGAAACGTGGTTGAAGACAACCAATTCCTTTGACTGGCAAAACAAGGGGTGCAAAAGCCTTTTGCTGAAATTTTCCCTCTGAAGGCATTTCCTTTAACTGAAAAGAAGAAGAAAAAAGAACATTGTAATTACTATCAGCTCCAGCAGCAAGGTTTCACATGTGACAATTATGTAGCTGAAACAATTCAGTTTACTTACCCTGGAATTTACAATTGACTCCTAATCAAATGCCATCTCTTGACTTTTTCTTACACAGCGAGCCACCTTTCTCTTGAATTCACCGTTAGGGTCCTCCCTCCACTCTTTCTGTGAGAGCAACACCAGATTCTTTTAATGACAAATCCTCAATTTACCTACCCAGATAGCACGAATGAAAAGGGATTCACAGTGTCAGGGGAAAGGGATAAGTCGTGTAACTCACCGCAGCATCCACATTAGCTGGTGAGTCGCTGTTGGGATCTGCCAGCATGGAGATAACACTAATCATGATTGTCTCTACTGTGTGGATTGGAAGCCAGCGCTCCTCAGGCTTTTCATAACCAAACTTATCTTCTCCTGGCTCATGCAGAATTGAGATGCAAACGTCCCCGTTCTTAGCAACTGTAGAGAATAGGAGCATAAATTTAACTGCTGCCAATACAAAGTGATGACACCCTTAATTACAATTAAACTCAAAGCCTGGATTACTTTTCAGCTTAATCACAAAAACCTTTATAATAATCCAATGAAGTAGCAAAAATTAATTTATATATATCCAGAGCTAGTGAAGGAGATGAAGATTTCAAGTGTGGAAAAGAGCCTGCTAATGTGTTTACCATTTGGGTGCCAAATTTCAGTGATGAACTTCATCTTTGGAGGCCGTAGTGGATAATCATAGGGAAAGGTTAGGTATGCTTTGAAAAACCCTCCTTCGCTGCAATACAAAACAGAGCAAAGACAAATAAGAACTTATGAATTGAAATACTAATTTATATATTTCTCACTCATACAAATATTTTCTCACTTACAAAAGGGTATCTTGTGGACCAATGATCACAACCTCCCATTTATATATGTCATCATCGTCTATCAGACCAGCTGAAAAGCCCTCCACAGGGTTCTTGTTGAGCTCTGCAAAGACAGGCAGATGGTATCTTTTAATATGATGAACTGCACATTAAACAACTATAGTAATTACACAAACTGTAACAGGTCTACATATGTGATCAAGTAAGTAGTCGGGTAAAGATTACTGGGTATATTTTGAAACAATTGTTACATTGACAAATCCCTTGCAAAGGACAGAGAGCGTGAGACAAACGCTTGAAAACGATTTTTCAAGGACAACAAATGTAAAGTTCAAAACCAAACATCAACAAAGAAGTCATATTAAATTGATTTTAAAACTGGCCACAACAGCAGAACACCAGGGGGAAAACTAGGTGCTACAAAGATGGTGCACAGTAAACACAGAGAGGACAATAAAAACGCAGCAGAGCCATAATGAAACTGTTGAGGTCACTGACGTTAATGAAGTATGATGGGGGGTACAGGTAAATCTAGGGTACGCTGCATGTTGGTTTTTTCACTTTTGTGAACTGCTGCAGGAAATGTTGAGTTTGCATTCACAACTAATTGATGACACAAAGCAGGTTAACAGCTGCTGACCAGAATGAATAAGTAATAAGTGCTGTATTAGCCCCTTTAATTAACACCATTACTCTTAAAAAGCATGAATTGTACTGATTTGATCTCCTGAGCCTTTGTTACAATTTTCTGGCTGAGATACGGCATACTGACTCGAACCATAGGGTTTTTAATATATCAATAAAGTATATGAAATGCGTGCATCAAAACAATTTACAGCACTGACACTTGACTGACGCTGCTTAAAATATTTCTCTAATATCACTTTAGTTTTATATTATATCATAATATTTAGTGAAGTAACAGAAAGATTAGTTTGTATCTTTCCATTTAATAATATTTAAAAGCTAACTGTCTATTTGTCATAGTCATAGTCTCACATTATTGCAACTTTATTCAATAAATATACAGTTTGACTAATGTTCACTAAATCAAATCGTGGTTTCCAAAAATAAAAATCACTGTTAAACTGAATCATCACCTTGAACTGAATCAACCACGGTGAAGGCAGTGATTCACATCCCCACGCACAGAGAAACCAGAATTAGCATATTGTACAATATGTTAAATCAGTCATAGAACAGGATGATGGGCCGTCTAATTTTGTTAAACCAGTGGACATTGTGGAAGATGGTTACTGTCATTGCTGCACCATGAGAAAATCTGAATCCTGTCCACAGTCAGTGGTTATGGCAAGCTCCAGTACATTATCACAGTAGGTCTAACTTAATCAAAGTAGGTCACTTTGTGACTGTGCCACAGTGTACAGCAGGGAAAAAGACTGAAATAATATCAGCGTTGTGATAAGACTTTACATTGTCTGTGATGCTGACCCCTGTGATATAAGTTAGCTCAGATATATTTTACTAATCTTGAACAAATTTTTCTGACATAGACTTTTTTTACTTTTGCAGTTGAGTAAACTGCCTCTTCCTACTGGCCATTTTAGTAAAATTACAAATGGGATTGTCTCAGAGATCACCTGCCAACACCACAGCCATAAAGTATCATTCATACCTAGGTGCCTTCCTAACTATGTAACGTATGACTTTAACGGTATCTGCTACAATCATGGTTTTAATAGGCTCGGCATGATGACCATTGTCATCAGGAAAAAAATGTGTATTTAAAAAATATCAGTTTACATATTTTTTTATTTATATAACCGACCCGGGAGACAGACATCCAGACGCTGAACGGGACTGTCAGTCAGCTGCAGACCAGACTGAACATCAGGGGTATCGGTGTCTCCGTGTGTCTGGGCACCCACAGTAGTAATAATAATAATAATAATACTAATGCTAATAATAATAATGAGTCTCAAATTAAGCCAACGTGATAAGAATAGGAGTTTTGCAATTGTAGGCTTGGACACGGAGATACCTCTGCTCACTAAAAGCTGCTAACTAAGCAGCGTTACAGTCTGAGCCAGATTTGACACCAGAAACGCTAAATATTACCATATACAGCTAGGTGGTGAGTTTGTGGTTTTAATCAAGCTGCTGCTGATATGGTAGCACAATAGTCTATGGAAGGCTTAGGGTTTCTAAAGCTATCATTAGCAAAGCTAAAATCATCAGAGCAGATGAGTCCATGGATTGATTATTCCTTTGTTCCGTCAGCTAACTAATGTCGAACTTGCTAGCCCCCGCTAGCAAGGCTGGCGTTGCGATTCAGTGCTGGTTCCGATATAATGTTATTTTTGCCACGTATACTTCAAAATATGTATCTTTATTTCTACCAGAGAACAGCTAATACAAGCAGCTTAGTCACATACTAGTGATAAAGGAACCCATTATGTCGCTTGGTTAGCTTTCTGAGCTTACTCCTATGGCGTAAACATAGCTTTGCGTAGCTAAAAAAAAGCTAACGTTAGCCGCTAGGTTGCTAGCCTTTATATCGGCTGTATTTGCTTACAGTTTTGTATTCATATTACCTGCCAGTTGTTTTCGAAGAAGTAATGCTGATTGTTCGGTCATGGTACGCGGACGTAAAAGAAAAACACTTTGTGTCAACAAATAATTTCCGAAAAAAAAGAGCTAAAGCTGAAGTCGGGTGAGATGTTGCGCTGCCTGCTGCTGATTTCCCTCACTGTTTTGACACAAGGTTCAGCTGCTGGCTTTAGCTGTGCGCATGCGCGTCTGCAGTTTATCTTGTGTATGTGTGTTCAAAGCAGCTCTTCTTAAGAAATCAACAGGCACTAACCTGGAAAACGTTATTTCCAACCCACAAGATTCCTGATTGATATATGATACACTCTTTAGACCATGAGAGTTCAGTTCCCAGAATAGGCGGTGATTCCAGCTGGAACATCAAAATACTGTATGTGTCAAGTCTCAGCAAAGGGGTCTGACATAAATGGTAAATGGCTGAATTTATACATGGCTTTTATCCAAAGCGCTTCACAATTTGCCTTTCGTTCACTCAGTCACTCACGTCAATGGCAGCGAGCTACCATGCAAGGTGCTGACCTGACCATCAGGAGCAATTCTTGGTTCAGTATTTTCCCAACAACAGGAGGTGTCAGGGATCGACCTCCAGCCCTGTGATCAGCAGACAAACTGCTCTACCTCCTGAGCCACAGCCGCCCCACATCAGTCCTCCATTGTCTTTTGAGAATCCCAGACCACTTGGTGCTTATGAGGGTGTTACTGACTGACTGATTGTTGTTTAAGTCATGGTGTTTTATTGTGATTTGGTTTGTAAAAATGTCTGGCCTTATTGGGTGCTATATTGCCTAGGCTGGCCTTCTGTCTTATTATCTTATTCATGCATCAGTGGGTAAACCAATTCTTTCTAAATCCTCATGAGTTTGTAAAATTGTCAAAAAGCTGTCTTTTAGTATTGCATTGTTATTATCAATTGTTGTTTTGACAAGTTTATTGATGATGAAGTATTTTGGCATTTTGAAACAATGTTAATGTTAATTTGTGGTATAAAACTGAGAAACAAGATGCTCTTATTTAGTAGCATGATATAATAATTCTAAAAAATTTTATTTGACTATTATAAATGTAAATGTTACTCGAAATATTATTATACCTGTGCACATTATTAATCTTATTTATCTTCTCTCTGCGGTCATGGAGCCACTGCCTGAAGGCCAAAGAGGATGAGGAGGATGTTCTTCCTTCAGGCCATTTGGGTCCTGAACGAGTGACCTTTCAGAGGACTACACATCATTTATAATTCATCCATTTACTATAAATTCCTGTCATACAGATGTCATTATCACCCCTTATAATGCATATATCATTATTATTATTATTTATTTTATCTGAACAGGGACAGTGCACAATAAAACATTAACCCTGTATATAACAAGGAGAGATGCAGTGCACCGGGTTTTAGCAAGTTGCTATTTTCCACTTGTAGTCCCTGGGCAGGTAGATGGAACATACAATAAATTAAAAACAGTTACTAAATTCACAGCTGTGCAAAATTTAAATTACAAAGTTATGAATACACACATTCCCACATCATTAAAACAATTTAAAACAATTTACCCCCCTCCCGCCAACTTTTATGAATAAATATGCCCCCCCATCAAATACACACACACACACACACACACAAATGTCTACAAGTTTGCTGTGACAGCATCCAACGTTTTGTGTGACATGAAAATGTTTTAAAATATATCATTATTTACTGTTTCATGTTTTGAAAATCATTAGACTATTTTGTTTCATTGTTTCAAAGTCTCATTTTACTTTTGAATCCTGTTTGCTAGATGTATTCTGGAGCTTGGCAGATTTTCACTATACATCGGACTGTGTATGATTGTGTATGTGACAGTAAACTTGATTTGATTTTAATTTGATTTACTTTAGAATACTCACTTTTGAGATCAAAATACTTCTTATTGACTATTAATTCCAGCTGTTGGAAAATTGCTCATCTGTGTCACTCCAGTTGCATACACTGCCAGTTTGAGACATGAAAGACAATGTTGTGGGTGGACACGATATGCACACAGGCACATTTGAGGAAGGGCTCAAATAGCATATTTCATAGGTGAAATGTATTATTTAAGGGATCATGTCTTCAGCCAGCTGAAAGATAGACAGTCTGTTAGGAGAAAGAAGATACAAGTTAAAAAAGTCATTTTTATCTTTTTGCCTGCATTAGTTGACTATGAAAATCTAATTATTTACCCTATGTATGGATGGATAATTGTATTTTTTAATTACAAATTTATTAGGGACACTATTATTAAACCTAATGAAAAAAGTTTTTATTATATTTATGTCATGTATCTCATAATACAAGTAGCTACTGTATAACGGTTGTTTAGCAAAAACAGACCGTATAGATTAACCGGTTTTGCCCAAAATCAAGGAGAAACTAAGTAGCTTCACATTAATTTACTAAAAAAATAAAAAATATTGCTGCAGCAAATACACAAGATGCGTTCACAACTATCGGATATAGGCATGCAGAGCGTCCTATAGTGAACTGTAACTTTCGACTAAAACATTTTACTCATTATTTTAAACATTAAAACATGAACATTTGTACTCCAAGCACGTTTGTGTACTTTCACGTATTGTTTCTCCAATAAAAATAAAGTCAATAAAAAGTTGTTGTCAAAGTCGCAGATTTCCTGAACATATAATATGTACAAGCGCAGTTGTTGAAGGCACGAGCTTGTGAAGAGAACCTGAAGGCAGCAATACGCGGAAGGAAGGTTGTTGGGCGCCATATTTAATACATCAGAAGCTAGTTAGCGTTAGCTGTTTACAAGCCCAAACTTTTAACTTGAGACGGAAACGTAAAGCAAGCCCTCAACACAACCGAACATGAATGTAATAGATCATGTACGGGATATGGCTGCCGCTGGCCTTCACTCTAATGTCCGGATATTGAGCAGTTTGTTGTTGACGATGAGTAATAACAATCCGTAAGTATTGTCAGAGCGGGGTCCGTCTATTTCCTGAAGAGTGCTCTCGTTCACCAGTGTCTTATGTTGTCTGCCCGTTAATGTGATAGCCCAAAGCTAACTGGTCAACAACAGATAACATTAATGACTGTAACCGTAAAGCACGTCAGATTTCTAAATTAATGTAAACAGACTCCCGTTAAATACTCCGTAGAGTATTTAGAGTTGCGTTTATATTAACGGTGTACGTTCATTTCCAGCAAATAGTCGTATGTAGAGTCTCCTTTAGGTTAATGGTGGCTGCAGTTAGCAGTTAGCTTGAAGTACTGTGGATTCAACCGATCAGAGTACTGTGTAAGGTGACTTGTCACATATATTGTTGATAACTTGATTTCCCCCCGTTCACGATAGAGTGTGATTGATTTAAAGTCAGTGGCTGTGTATGAGCGGTGCTGTCTCAGTTACTGTACAGTGCAGCCCAGCTCAACCAGGATGCCTCTATTCTTTATAAAAACTGCTGGATTAGGTCTTACACTGCCGTGCTTTGCATCAATAGACATTTTCACTATCTTTGTTTATTCTTGTTACGGTAACCTTTATATTTGGAATATTCTTCATTAGTTGGATTGGCTGTATATATTGTTATGAACATAATATTCTTGTTTTTATTCAGTTTTTCTCTTCTGTATTTTCTTTTACTCAATGAGTTAATTTAAGTCTTTGGACTATTAGCATTTTACCTAACACCTTGCCTTATAATGTGTGCAATAGATATACACATTTCCTTTGTGGTTTCTTCTCTGATTCTAATTACTTTATTGTTTGTATCTTTATTTTGTTTCCAGAGAGCTGTTCTCACCGGCCCAGAAGTACCAGATGTTGGTTTACCATGCTGATGCCATCTTCCATGATAAAGAGTATCGTAATGCTGCCTGCAAATACAGTATGGCTCTGCAACAGAAGAAGGTGCTCAGCAAAACGTCTAAAGTTCGTACTTCTACTGGTGGAGCCGCATCTAACATACAGGCACAGGTATGTTAGGTACCACTGATTGAAGCCGTAACACAACTCGTGTGTGTGACTAGCAGATTTCCTACTCTATGGAAGATGACTCAACAATTGCAGATATAGTTGTTTTCATTTGCTGATAGTATTATACTATATTTTGAGGGACACTAAAATCTCCTCTATGTGGCACACAGTGCTTTACTTACATTTACAGTTTATATACAGTATAAACCAAAGAACATTTGAACTTGATAGGTGTGTGGTTGCTTTTGCCATCATCAACTCTTGCTGAAGGATAAAAGGATAAAATGTGTTGTCTTGTGTTTGCTAAATCAATACCACTGACTTGTTCAGTTGGCATGAATGGTAACGGAAAAACATCCAGTTACACTGATTGTTATCTTTCAGAGTTTGCCATCAGAGATTGAGGTGAAGTACAAGATAGCTGAGTGCTACACCATATTGAAACTGGATAAAGATGCCATTGCAGTGCTCGATGGGATTCCATCCAGACAGAGGACTCCGAAGGTAATATTTGCAACTATTTATGTATTATTGATTAATCTTTCGATCATTTTCCCAAAGCCCAAAGGGGACGTCCTCAAATATCTCGTTTTGTCCACAACCCATAGAGGACTAAAGAAACCAGGGAATATTCTCATCTGAGACACTGAAATCAGAGAATTTTTTCTTCTTCTTTTTTTTTTTTTTTTTTTAACAATCAATGATCATAAGAGTCTACAACTAATTGATTAATTGACAAATCATTGCGGCTCTATTTGAGTTTGTTAGCTTTTATAGAGAATTGTGATCAAAAGGATGGTATTGTTCTTTCTCGCCTCAGATCAACATGATGCTAGCTAACCTGTACAGGAAAGCTGGCCAGGAGCGCTCTGCAGTGACGAGCTACAAAGAGGTCCTCAGACAGTGTCCCCTCGCCCTGGATGCAATCATTGGTATGAGTAGCTGCAGAGACACCTTCATCTAAATCTACATTTAACCTGCTGAGACACTTATGTATGTATATATAGTCTTGTGTGTACACTCGCAAAAGTTCTGCTTGTGAATCTCTCACTCCAGTGTACTTTTTAGAGAGCTTTGACACCTGTTTATGAAAAGTGCTCTTTAAATAATTAATAAAAAAAATATTATGTTTTTTCCACTAGGTCTTCTCTCTTTATCAGTCAAAGGAGCTGAAGTGGCGTCCATGACTATGGATGTGATCCAGAGTATCCCCAACCTGGACTGGCTCTCTGTTTGGGTCAAAGCATATGCCTTCATACACGCGGGGGACAATCAAAGAGCCATCAACACTATTTGGTGAGCAGAGCAGCAATGCTTTATACAAAGTGAATATCACTGTTCCTTTTTAATGTGACAGTCTTGTTTATTTGTTGTGTCTCCATCTCGTCTTGTCTCAGCTCTCTTGAGAAGAAGTCTCTGTTGCGGGACAACGTAGACCTCCTGGTGAGCCTGGCAGATGTCTACTTCAGGGCAGGTGACACCAAGAACGCCATCCTCAAATTTGAACAAGCCCAGATGCTGGACCCATACCTCATCAAAGGTGACTGATTGACCTAGAATCTGTCATAAACGGTTAAAATGTATTTAGGTTGTTTTGTACTATTTGATCGTCAGGGCTGGATTAACTTTCATTGTCTGTGCTGTGAGCTCAGGACGCATGCACCAGCTTTACACCCTAAAATGTCCGTTGTGTTGTTTGCTCTTGCAGGAATGGATGTTTATGGGTACCTGATGGCCCGTGAAGGACACTTGGAGGATGTTGAAGTCCTTGGGGGACGATTATTTAATATCTCGGACCAGCATGCAGAACCCTGGGTGATCTCTGGGTGAGTCTCTGAGCAGGCGGCCTCAATAGGCCTTTGCTTGGGACACATATCACTTCTAGATGTGTAACTGTTACTTTTTATGTGAAATAGCACTGTCCTGTTAAGTCTTTGTAATGCTTTGAATGTGTTTCTGTGGGTCAGTTGTCACAGCTTTTATAGCAAGCGTTACTCCAGAGCCCTCTACCTGGGAGCCAAGGCCATCCAGCTGAACAGCAACAGCGTGCAGGCTCTCCTCCTGAAGGGTGCAGCGCTGAGAAACATGGGTCGTGTTCAGGAAGCCATCATCCATTTCAGAGAGGCCATGCGCTTGGCACCCTGCAGGCTCGACTGCTACGAAGGCATGTTTGGCTTTTTAAAAAATTCTATCCCATTATGGTCTTTTCACTCGGGAGTACATTTCTATTCTGCTTTTTAAAGTATTCATACCCGCCCCTTCACAGGTCTGATCGACTGTTACCTGGCATCCAATGGGATCCGAGAGGCTATGGGAATGGCCAATAACATCTATAAGACTCTGGGGGCCAACGCACAGACTCTGACCATCCTTGCCACAGTGTGCCTGGAAGACCCGGTGACTCAGGAGAAAGCCAAAACCCTGCTGGACAAAGCACTGGCCCAGAGACCGGACTACACCAAGGCTGTGGTCAAAAAGGCTGAATTGCTCAGTACGTACAACTGCCTTTGAAAATGCTCACCAGCAACAGCATGGACATTTTTCAGTATTAGATTAAAAAAAAAAAAAAAATTAAAATCTATTCAGTAACTTAAAGAAAATAAATATGGAAATAAAAGTGTCCTGTGTGCTTTTGAAGGTCGGGAACAGAAATATGAAGAAGGGATCGCTCTCCTCCGTAACGCCCTGGCCAATCAGAGTGACTGTGTCCTGCACAGAATGCTGGGAGATTTTCTGGTGGCTGTAAACGATTACCAAGAAGCCATGGATCAGTACAGCATAGCACTAAGGTAACCAGAGACTGCTCCTTACTTTAACTTCTAATACTTCTTCTGATATGTTGCAAAAATAAAGCAAAGTATTCTTTTAGCCACGTAATGATGGGGAGTTTATGCATTTCTATTGTATTTCCTAAGCTTGGATCCCAATGACCAGAAGTCTTTAGAAGGCATGCAGAAGATGGAGAAGGAGGAGAGTCCCACAGATGCCACGGTGGAGCTGGACGGTGACGACATGGAGGGCAGCGGAGAGGACGGAGACCTTGAGGGCAGTGACAGTGAAGCAGCGCAGTGGGCGGATCAGGAACAGTGGTTTGGTATGCAGTGACCCCGGCCACTGAAGGATACACAGTCAGTTCCACCTTCCAAACACACTGAAGCCTGTCAGAAGCTTTCAGCCACCAGGGTTGTCGAACAGGACACTCTAATGCGGTTTCCCCAACATCCTGACAGCCTTATCAGCCACATCACAGCGGAGCTAATTGAGGCGCGTTTGCTCGTCTGTAGCGCTGCCTAATACAGTCTTACCAGAGGACACTCAACCCCACAGACAATCAAGACGTGTTAAACACCTTGATTGTTCAATGTTTGAAAAAAAAATAAGATGCTTTGGGTGTTTCTTCAGCACTTCTTTCTTTTGTCACTCCGGCGGTCTGCGGCTGCCTGAATGAATGCATCGTTGTCCCAGGCGGGGCAAAGTACAACTTAAAGTTAAATATTTAATTACAAAGTGAGTGTCAGTGTATTAAAAAAACCCTGCCTTTTTGAGGTTGAGTTGTTCCCAGGTAAGATGTACTTGGGGGGGGGGGGGGATGTAGACTGAAGCAACTGGTGTTATGGGAAATTTTGTTCAGGCCAAGATGGCTGGAGTTATCCTTCACATGTGTCACAGGAGGGACTGCAAAGATTTTAAATGTGTGTTTTGTTTGAGCCTGTCCGACTCACTTGTTTGCCAACGACTTCTTCGTCTTTAACAGGCAAACTAGAGGTCTATGAAAAAGTGACTATGTACCATATTTCTGCTGCTCTTTGAAATGTATCCTCTTCATTTTAACATGAGAATGTGTCATATAATGTACATGCTTATCATTTTATGTGTGTTGTCTTTTGAGTCTGCCTTTATGTATCAAAAAAATAATACTATGATTGACTCATTCTTAAGTTGGGAAGTGTTACTTAACCATTTCAGGACAACTGTTTATAGTATTTTGTACATATTTTTAAAGTGTATAATAAAATGATTAAACACTCTCACTTGACATAAATGTAGTAGTCCAGTTTCTCTTAAACAGGTCCAGAGGTAGACAGCATGTTGTATTGTTTAATCAGTGGTTCCCAACCTTTTTCCTTAAGGCACTCCTTTTCTATCACTGAATAAACTAAGTGACATTTTATGGATATTTCATATTCAGTGCAAAACAATAATACTACAGAACAACTGAAACTGTACAATGAACTCAAACAGGAAATACAATAACTGCAGGCAGTTTGTGTAAAACAAGCAATTTGGATGAATTAAAATGACTTCCTATGAATATTGATCAGAGATGAGTTTTACAGATTTGTTGCGACATTTTATATAGTTATCTGTTTTTTTTTTTTCAATCACATACTTGATAGGCTTTTTGTTCACACATTCAGGGTTTTCGTCCCCCTGATGCTTGGCTACTGTTTCATTAGCTCTTTGGTCGTTTGAGCTGCGTACTTTTCTAATGCAGAATGAGACAGTGAAGGCTTTGAGTATAGCTTGTGTTATTAAATAACAATTTCATTTAGTTTCCTCCACAGAAATGAATGCAATGCTGAGATACCGACACTGCATATATCTTTTTAAAGTTTTCCTACATCCTTTACAATCAAGAAGCCCCCAATCTTAGCGACACCACAAAGGACAGTGATTAAACTCTTCACGTATGACAGTTTTATTTACCTGAAACCAAAGTTCATGTGATACATTGTACAATCATCTCTGAAAATACAGTACAGCAGTTTGGCAAAAAAATGCCAGTGGAGGGACTGCCTGTCGTTCTCATGGTAAAACGTATGCATCACTGCACCGCTGCACGTCCGCCTTCCCAGATATGGCAAAATCTGCTCCAAACATGTTGCACATCTCAGTGCAAAGCAAAAAAAAGGCTGTTTGGTTTTTAAATATCCCATAAAAGTATTTCCTTAGGAAAGATGAACTGTTTTTTTTGAGCTTATTTAACATTTGTACTATCTGACGAATGTCTATTCTATTAACCAATACTATACATTGTCTATTACACAGGTCTGGTAAAACAGATGGCTGATTCAGCGGACATGCACCATGGAATATAGTACAATTCACTGTACACGGTACTAAGATATTTGTCTAAAAAGATGGCATGAGAATTGTATCGTAATCTAAGGCTCTTCATGCAGGACGATGTTAGGACTGATGAGGTTGGACTGGCTAGTTTTCATCAGCAATTATTTATGGCCATTCTATAAAATGATGTATGGTCTTTATGAGCCTCTGTCTTCGTATTACTTAACTGACATGCAGCTCTTGTAAGATGTGCTGCCCAAAACACACATGCACAACACAAAACAAAACCAAAGTTTCTGCAAGGAATTTAGAGTAGAGGTGGGCTTACTTGGCCTTTGCTGCAAAGAAAAAGAAGAGAGAGGAAGAATCAAATCAGTGGACACAAGAATCACAGGCCAAAGTAAAAGCATCTGAGCAGCAAATAATTTATATTCACCAGTACTTCTTTTCATAAAAAGAGCAAATATATATTAAGGCCATGCTATGGGCAAGCAGAGAATTAGGTCAAAAGACAAATGCAATAAAAAGAAAAGAAAAAAGACATGTATAAATTAAAAAAAACACACCAGTAACACCATGTCCTGTAATGGCGTGGGGGCACATAAATGTCAGTGTCTCTACCAGTTGCCAAAACATGCTGCCAGTCTACAGTCAAAAATAACCGGCACCAGTGACACTGTGCCAGTTCCAAATGCAAAAAGGCTCCTATTTCTACTCAGTGTCTATCTGGCACTTGGTGAAATTGAAGGCATTTTCAAACAAACTCTCAAACACCTTAAATCATTCCTCTCACTTTTGTACCATTAAAAGCATATTTAAAAAAAAAAAAAAAAAAAAAAAAACTACTAGTCCTATCAAAAATATGAGAAGCTGTCATTCTCGTACGAGCAAAGCTGCATGTGCAACCACGTAAAGATGAGAGAGCGCTAGTTGGCATGCAGGTTAAAGTGTACTCACTCTGCAGGTTAACAGGTGGAAGGCATTGGAAGAAACAACAGTTAGCTTTAAAGCTAAAAAAAACTCAGAGCACTCACTGGCCTGGTATTATTGGAGCAGGCATGCAGGAAGGCTAAGACCACGCTTAAGTAAACTAGAGTAAATGTATGGAGCATTTTGACAGCAGCGACAAAAAGAAAAAAATCTATACAGAGATTCTACTTTGTGTGCTATGTACAGATATACAGACTCTTCCAATGACCAGTCGACCATGTTGTGCTCAGTTGATAAGACTAACAGCTTCTTGGTGCCTTTTTACATATTCAAGTACAGTATGTGCACATTATACATACATTAGAAAGATTACTGTAATTAAGATGCAAAATTAAGACTGACAGTTGAGACTGAACCTATAAAAAAAAAAAAAAAAAGTCAAACTTAAAAAAATGAAATCACGACAAATGTGTTTTTTCAAGTAAACAAATTTAACAACAGGCTTTTAACAAAAAATGCTCTGAACCAAACTGGTAACATATCCTTGTCCTCTCTTCCGTCCAATAACACAGAAAAGAAATTTATATTTAAAAAAAAAAAATTGTGTGTGAGGGCTTTGTCTCTACTGCAAAACAAATTGGTGCTTACCTCAACAAATGATAGTCTATGAAATGGTTGTTAAGACAGATGTGTAGTAATGGTCATATTAACAGCATTGAGGTAGCTGTGCTCTGCCTACTGCAGAAAATAATGAGTGATTATGCATGGAGCTCAAAAAATGACTAGAGATTCATGCCAGGGCAAATATATTCAAGTCTTTACCCCAAAATTAGTATTGTTCTATACGGTCCTTAGAATTACATCCTCTTCACACCCAGCATTCTGGTCCCCACAGCCCCTCCCAAAAATTACAAAATATTAATTATTATAAAATAGTGTAAATTCTCTGTACAGCTCAACACACAGCTCCAACACGGTGGGCATTTCTAAATGTTCAAAACAGGGGATCAAAAGAGAGAAAAGCGTGATGGTAAAATAAAACACATAGACATAATGTCAGTTAAAGTCATTAAAATATGACTATAGCCCCAGCCCCCCGCCCAAAAACATGTATCGGTGAAAATGTCCTAAATACAAAAGATCTGACACCACGCAGACTGTCAGAGCAAGTGCAGGTGTTGACTGTGAGTTGTTCCGAGTTAATGTAACTGTGTTAGATGTGTGTGTTAATGTCCACTTCACACTGGTGCACAGGGAGGGTAGTGTACTGGAGTCAGTCAGGGCCACAACATGGCAGACACGTTAGTGTCGGTGCTGTAGATCCACAGCACCAGGGGTAGGGAGATGGCCACGAAGGGCCAGGAGATGCCCTCAGCCCATGCAGACAGAGAGCAGCCTTTGCTGGCCGGCTTCTCCAGCTGTTTACCAAAGTCCGAGTAGTTCCTGGACATAAACTTCAGCAGCTCATCCAGCAGGATGACAGGCAGGGAGATCTTCAGCACCATCATCCACTGGGTTGTATCCAGAGGGGTGATCTGGAAGATGACCTGTGAGAGTGCACGACAACATTCATCATTTAACACCACAGATACTCACATGGTGTCAGCATGGGGAACTCATGGGTGACCTGTACCCCTACAAATGTCACATTCCACCCTACAGTAGGCAGGACCATCAGGGCCATTTAAGTTCATGGTATGGGACGTCTGGTGGCCTAATGCTTGAAGCAACAGTTGTACAGTTTGGGAAATACACTTATTTGCTTTCTTCCGGCAAATAAGTGTCCATGCACTAAATAGGAAAGCGGTTAGCTTAGCATAAAGACTAGAAACAGGGTAAACTGCTCGCCTGGCTCTCTCCAAGGGTGACAAAATCCATCTATCAGCACCAATAAGCTCACTAACTAACATGTTATATTATTAATCCTTTCCAAAAAAAGTGTCGAAATTGCCATTTGGTTTACAGGAGGTTATGTGGGGGACTATTAATTGGCTGGACAAGTGACTTCCTGAAGTTTCCACCAGTTCCCTGGTAACCCCACAGTGATGACAAGATTCAAGGAAGTCACAATACCAGTCAAGAAATAATCCAGCATATAATTAGTGAGATTTAGAGGTTTAAGTAAATGTTTAAGTATTTTTTCTTGTATTTAGAAGGTAGCCCATTTGGTTTCCATTAGTCTGTAATGAAGGCATAGAACCACTAGGGGGCAAACAGAACCACATGACCCCTGAAACTCAACCTGTGTCCTGCAGTAGGTAAATTGGTTATAAAGCAGCCAGCTCATTTCTGAATTTTGTTTTTAAATGACATCATTGGATACATTGGTTTTGTAAAACTCACAGGCAGAGGTTCCACATAGAGGATGAGGAAATGGAGGGACATGGAGAGGCAGATTGCCCCCAGGAGCCAAATGTTCTCCCAGGGTGGCATCCGCAGCAGGGACTGGTTCTCTGACAGACTGGACAAAGGAGAGAACACAGATGATGATTTATTTATACAGTTTGCCCTTCATTTTCTGAGTGCAAATTATTCAATCAATTATTCAAGAGGCCTGTTGTTTACCTGTTGAGAGCATTGCACATTTCAATGGTGACGAGCACAGACAGGGCCATGGTCATCGGGTAGGGCGACTCAAACACGTGGCAGTCCAGGCCGTCGAAATCTGGGTTGTCTGGGCCGCACTGGAGGAAGTGGCTCTGTGGGGAGGAAGGCAGGGGAGTGAGGGGGAGGCAAATAGCTGAGGGGAGCTGAAGAATGATCACTCGGACAGGCAGACTCACCAGCTGGTAAAGAGTGAGCTGAGGTCCATCTTCAGAGACAGTGAACCACCAGGCAGCAGCTCCCACTGTGGCTGCACCCACATAACCTACACGCAAAGTCACAAAATAAGTAAGTAAGTAAAGCTTTATTTATATAGCACCTTTTTGATACAGAGATCCAAAGTGCTTTACAAACAACAAATAAACATAAGGGTATAACCAAACTCAATCAAACAAACATAGGGAGCATGTAAATACAAACAAAGGAAGATAAAACAAGAGGGGAAAAAATAATTAAAAGAGAGATGACAGATGAGGAAACAAACAAGGAGATCTATAAAAAGGCTTGCCTGTAAAACAGTCCACAGATTCTGTGCTAAAACAGCAAAGGCACAGTCACCTTTAGTTTTGCAGCAGGGAATGGATAAAAGGCAGAGATTTGAGGAGTGGAATGAGGAACAAGGAGATCTGAAATGTAACTGGGGGCAAGGTCATGAAGTGCCTTATATGTAATCGGTAAGATCTTATAATTGATTCTGAATTTTACAGGAAGCCAATGAAGGGATGCAAGAACAGGAGTAATGTGGGACTGACGGCTGGTTCTGGTTAAAAGTCTGGCGGCTGCATTTTGTACTAACTGTAAACAATTTAACGAATAACATCATCATCATACACCGGCTACTTATTTATCAAACTGCATTAAGGTAGATCAGAGATTCTTGTAAAAAACACTGACATTATTCATTATCAACTAACCTCCAATGGCCAGGTATCTGAAGAAGAGCCAGCCAGAGATGAGGGGCTCCTTAGCGTTACGAGGAGGCTTCTCCATGATGTCCAGATCTGGGGGGTTGAAGCCCAGGGCGGTGGCAGGTAGGCCATCTGTCACCAGGTTGACCCAGAGAAGCTGAACTGGGATAAGAGCCTCAGGGAAGCCCAGCGCTGCAGTAAGGAAGATGCTATCGGGGGAAATAACTACAGTTAACATCTGTACATCAGCACTGCACGCTCCATCTACTATCGTTCCGTATATATTGCCAATATAAATGCAATTCTATAGTCATCTGCTCGTGAGGAGACTCACCAGACCACCTCCCCCACGTTGGAGGAGATAAGGTATCTAATGAACTGTTTCATGTTATTGTAAATAGCTCTGCCTTCTTCAACGGCAGCCACGATGGAAGAAAAGTTGTCATCGGCGAGGACCATCTCAGAGGCTGACTTGGCCACGGCAGTGCCAGAGCCCATGGCGATGCCAATCTCTGCCTTCTTCAAGGCAGGGGCATCATTCACTCCATCACCCGTCTGTGGGGAAATGTTTTGTTACATAAGAATAATTCCACAAGCAAATCAACACAATGAACATGATGCCAACAAAGATTAGATACCCACAGGTTTCAGATCATCATGTTTAATGTCTTTTGAATGCTAACCTGGATTAAAGACCAGCAACCACAATAAAGAAACAAAACGCTTGTTAACGCAGACTATATCTAATCAAATATTAAACACTATTGATCAGTGCAAGAAACTGTGCAGACTCCACTTTCAGACTTCATACCATAGCAGTGATCTCGTCAAATCCTTGCAGGAACTCTACGATCTTGGACTTGTGGGAAGGCTCGACGCGGGCAAAACAGCGAGCATGAGTCACAGCCTCGCGCTGAGCGTATGGCGAGAGTTCATCAAACTCTCGTCCGGTGAAGGCCATGCTTTCCACGTCATCCTCCTCATTCAGGATGCCAATGCGGCGACAGATAGCCACAGCTGTGCCCTTGTTGTCCCCGGTGATCATGATGACACGGATACCAGCCTGGCGGCACAGCGTGATAGAGGCGGCAACCTCTTGTCTGGGAGGGTCCAGCATGCCGACGCAGCCGACGAAGGTCAGATCAGTCTGGACGCAGAAGGACAAGGATGTGAATGAATGTTTGTTACTGAAAAAAAAAAAACCTCCACAAGTAGACACCAAATAAAGGAAATATTTAGAATTGAAATGAACATTCACCTCGTACTCTGCGAATTTGGTACAGTCAGATAGTATCATGTCCTCCATTTTGGGTGGGCTGTCTCTTGTGGCCAGAGCCAGGCACCTTAGGGTGTCACGTCCTGTTCCATACTCACGGATCACAGACATGATCTTTTCCTTGATAGCTTTGCTGAGGGGAACTTTATTGTTGCCAACTCTGACGTGAGTGCATCTCTCAATAACTCCCTCCGGGGCCCCCTGTTGGGTAGAGCAGAGGAAGAAAATATTCACAACATGGTAGAGGAAGCAAAGCTATCGACACGTCCTCAGAACATGTTTCTTTCAGTATACCTTTACAAACATCTTGCCCATGGAAGAACGAGACTTGTTGGGGGTGCAGTAGACAGACATGGACTTCCTGTCTCTGGAAAACTCCAGGGTGAACTCCTTCCTCATGAGCTGCTTGATCACCTGATCAGACAAAAGGACAGACAGAATTAGAAAAACCTGCTGAGTGGGAGCAGTGGATATCTGCAGCGTGTGCAGGTGAGGGAGCTTGTGTCACTCACTGAGTTGCAGGCATTAGCTCTGTCAATCTTGGACAAGCTCTGGACTTCAGTGTCAAAGACGTTCATCTTCTCCACCAGACAGGTCAGTGCAGTCTCTGTGGCCTCGCCGACCTTCTCGTACACACCCTTCACCTGAAACATCAAAAACATTCATGAAAAAATTTTTACGTTTTCAAAAACACATTTAACACTGATGAATGTGTTTTAAGTTGATTTCACTTCAGCCCACAGATACAGCATGAAACACATCAATCCCAGTTTATGATGTTTTGGTAGAGTGCATTTGTTAATGACATTTAGGCATGTCACTGAACACAATATACTACATAACACATCCTAATGTTTGTGTCAGCTCAGGACAGTAAATCGTTTTAGTTGCATCAAAAACTGCCAAAAAGAAAGAAACTTTCATCAGAAGCTGGAGAGACTCCACATCACAGCTTAAGTCAATAGTCCCAAAATGAAGACACCTGATGCTGTGTTTAGGTTAATCACCAGACTTTGCACACTTTGTACACAAAATATCCAGTGCAACATAGACGTTTATTCTACCTATGTGTCAAACTCCTTGATTAATATTTAGTGTTGACATCATAATTAGATGTGGCCAATGATCTAGGAAGCAAATAGGTAGTATTGCCTGTACCCCACACTGATCCACTGACACTGTATGTGCAGGTGGACATGTTATGTATGTATGCATGTCTGTCTACCCAACTGCAGTTTTAATTATTTCTATCCCTTTTTTTGTTACATGTATATTTTTTCCCCCTTTTTTTCCCCCAGCGATCATTTTACCCTATGTACTAGAGCGTGTGATTGTCTATTAAGTCCTTATGAAGTGTAATAAAAATATGTTGACACACAAACAAAAAGATCATATTGGCCAATATTACACTCTCCCGTGTAAAGGAAAAAGCAGGTTCAGACCTCATTGAAGTCCAGAGAGGAGTCATTACACAGGGCACAGATGGTAGCCAGTTCAACCAGGGCATCATACTGAGAGGATTTCACTGGTTTACCATCCTGGTACCTGAGGACAAGTACAGAGTATTAACCTGTGTGTTTGTGTGTGTGCACGCACATACATATACAGTCAACAATAACAATTACTGTTAACAATAACAATAAATACCCATCTTTAACCCCATAAAATCTCTTACTTACTCGATTGATTGAAAAACACCTACAATTTAAGTCAATGAGATATTTTATCTTTCACCTAGATATGCCTGTTATGAAGTCGGCAGTAAAGTACTCACACTTCTCCTTCAGGTGCGTAGGTAGAACCTGTGATAGTGAACTCTGATAGAGAGCAGCTGTCTCCTTCAGCCTTGTTGACAACGAACATCTGGAGAAAAAAAGAGCAGAGTTTTCCAAAGCTGACACCATTTGATCAGCTGATGTCTCAACTGCCAGTTTATATACTGACACAGCAGGTGGCAGCAAAAACCAAAGCAATCCCAAGCGGACCTGATGAGTGAGAGCTCTTTTTAGACAGTAGATTATCCTGCAGCGTTACAGAGTGTGTTGGACGGGCTGGGTGGCCTGCTGCCTAATGTGAAAAGAGGGTGTTTAGTTTCTCTCTATAAGTAAACAGAAGATACTGCCAGGGAGCCTGAGTAAAGAGAGTCACTGTGCCCAAAAGGAAGAAGCCGCAGTGCCAGGCCTCCTCCTGCAGGAAGCTTTCATCCTCTAACACACAACTGTTGTCATTGGTTCGATAAGAGCATGGGTGATCAATCAAGACCTCCTAAAACCAGCAGCCCATCATCAAATCCTGGTGCTGCTTTTCTCTGTTTATTCAAGGGAATGGGCATTCCATCAGATTTATTTCAGGAACACTAGCATTAACTTTTTTTTTTTATATACTAAAGTATGTAAGGCATCAGCTTTTGGTTGCCGAAACTAAAATCGCTTTATTACAGTAACAGAATAACATTATTTGTTGTTTTTGTTTAGGGTTAGTTGAACTTTTCACAGTCTAACAACTTAATTTGCTTCATGCCTGTGTGCTCACTAACGCACCAACGCATGTGCAACATGCAATATTTAAATATCATGAATGATGCCACAAATATTTATTTTTTTATTCATTTTGGGTTGAACATTTTGTTATGTGTTAAAGGGTGGTTGCTACCGCTACTACTGATGGAAACCAAAGGCCAAGGATCGGTTGCCAATTTCACAAAATGGTTGCCAATGGCAACCTGGCTACCGTTCGTGTCCAGCCCTGCTAACTTAAGGATAGGATCAGGTAGGGAGGACATACTGTCAGATAGTAAAACACTATAAGAATAAAAGACATCATTATGGTCTAACTGTAGGTTTTTATTCATTTTGCCAGTGGCTTATGTTGTCATAATATATATATATGTGTGTGTGTAAATTTGAAATACATGCTTGCATTTCTTTTTATTATGCGAAAGCAGTGTAAATTCAATTATCACACCTCTTTAACGGCTTTTGTCTGCATGTCATGAGTGCAAATGTTTTCTCTTTTCAGTGGTTTAATATATGGCTCTCAGTGAATCACTATAAATCACTGAAAAAAGCAGTAATTGCAGAATCACAAGGCTATTTAGTCATGGTCAGTACAACATGTGGCCCAAACAATACAGTGGCCTAAACAACTGTTTGATAAAAACTGTAAATTAATGCCACAAGTCTTATTCAGGCTGTGCCACAGTTCTGAGAAAGCACTGAACAGGCAACAAAAGAGGATAAAACTTTAATAAATGTTGAAATGTCTTAATGTGGGGCCAAGTAACACTGGGGTGCCACTCACAAACACACACACAGAGACAGACAGAGAGAGAGAGAGAAGAGAGAGAGAGAGAAAGAGAAAGGAACTACAGGCTGGCTGCTTTGCAGTTTGGTGACGCAAGGTCGGTTATGCAACAGCAGCACTGCAAGTCATCCAACAGCTCAATGTAGATTAGAGGAGCAGCAGCATGTTGCCTTCTTGTTAAATAACCTGGATGCCTGATCAAAAGGATAACTCCACTCTCTCTGTTTGCACAGACAGTATTAGCATTTAAGCTGAAAAATGTATTGAAAGTGACTTTCAGCAGTCACAGTTTCTCTAACTCCGATCTCCTTATTAAAACTCCAGGCAGGGACATCAAAGATGACAAAGCACTGACAACTAACTGCTCAGCAATGCACCAAGAGAAAGTGTGTGTGACTCACTCTGCAGACAGACATCTGGTTGGTGGTCAGGGTTCCCGTCTTGTCAGAGCAGATGACAGAGGTGCAGCCCAGGGTCTCTACGGATGGCAGGCTGCGGACAATGGCGTTCTTTTTGGCCATGCGTCGGGTGCCCAGGGCCAGGCAGGTGGTGATGACAGCAGGAAGACCCTCAGGGATGGCGGCCACAGCCAGCGCCACGGCAATCTTGAAGTAGTAGACAGCCCCGCGGACCCAGGAGCCTCCGTGGACGGGGTCGTTGAAGTGGCCAATGTTGATGATCCACACGGCGATGCAGATGAGGGAGATGACCTTGGACAGCTGCTCGCCAAACTCATCCAGCTTCTGCTGCAGGGGCGTTTTCTCCTGCTCGGTTGCCGCCATCTCGTCACGGATCTTACCAATCTCAGTGTTAATACCGGTGGACACGGCCACACCCACAGCCTTCCCAGCTGCAATGTTGGTACCCTGAAATAACAAGTAATATACATGTTGGCTCAAGTAGATCTGATAACATCTCACACATCTTTAAACAACAACAGGAGTGAGTTTTTCCAGGAAGTTAACAGAAACTAAACAAACAAGAAGTAGAAGGACATCAACAGGATGTATGATAACGTGCAGAGTTCAGCTTACAGAGAAGAGCATGTTCTTCTTGTCCTGATTGACAGCACGAGGGTCAGGCACGGGGTCGGTGTGTTTGATGACAGAGACAGATTCACCTACAAAGACAACAGAGGGCAGCAGGTTAAAGCAGTTTGCATTTGTCTTTGCAGATGATCTTAGGAACAAAGCACAGCCAATTATCTCTACAGGGAGATCTATGATCTGTGATCATTCATGCTGCCTCACTGATCTTTCACATGCTCATGAATGTTTCAATTTGGAAGCAAACAGGCTACTTGGAAACAGTGTCATGATGCACTTATGTGCTCATTCTACAGCCAGCTCAAACGATCTTGTTCATATTCATACAGTTATTCTGGTTCTTCAAACACAGCTGCAGGATTGATCCATTAATCTTGGATGAGGGTATCTTAGATAACTTAATGAAACCTTATTGTGGCCTAAAACGATAGATTGAACATGCGTTCACCGTTGCATTTGTAACCCATGGCCATATCTGGAAACAATCTTTGATAAGGTATACAGTGCTTAAAGGGCCAGGTGGTGATATTTAAACCTTTGTATGAAAACATAGATTATTTGGCCATTACCTTAGATAGCTGACATACACCGATCAGCCGTAACCTTGTTGTATTTAGCTAAGCTTTAGACCTATGTGACTTTCTATTTATCACTGAATACTGAGCATATATTTTAAATATGTACAGTGAACAGCATAGTCTTGTGCCTGTGCTAAAAAGGTTAGTGTGTAGAATTTTTTTTTTCTTTCTAGTGTATAAAGCTGTACATATGTCACAGAAAAAGTAAACTAATCAATCATGATGTAGTTCAATCAATTTAATAACACCCAAGTTATTAGGGGACAATTGAGAATCTAACTGAAAAAGGCACAGGAAACGGATTGGATGGCTGTGATATCATTAGTGGACAGGTCTTACCGGTCAGAATGGACTGGTCTACCCTCAGAGTTGTTGACTTGATTGAACAGATACGGATGTCAGCAGGGACCTTATCTCCAACTATAACCAAACAGATACACAATTAGAGAAAACACACAAACATAAATGCCAAAACATCAACACACAAAAATATATTATATACAACAAGTAGTTAACAGTTAAATTGTCGCATCATATTTGATGGCCAAATGGTCTTTTATACCACATGAATAGCACTTCACTTACATTGGAGGTTTGATTACCATGAAGGCTACCCATGCACTCCTGATACTGTACAATGCTGTTTGTGCGTGTGTGTAATGAAGATTTAACAGATGAGATGTTTTCTGTTTTTAACAGGCAGTAACTCAGCATTAGTGTAAACTAAACTGATGAAGCACAGCTCATTACAGGGTGGTTGTGGTACCACACAGCAGCAGAGAAGTGCTGCCATCACTGCAGGGAAAGAGAAGGCGAGCCAAAGAAAGAGGAGGAAATGAAGGACCTGTGAGCCATAAAAGGCCCGTCTCAAAGGAAAAGGCCAATTTGGGTACATCGGAATTGCAGTGACCCAATTCAGCTTCCTAATGGTACATAAAGGCAATGGAAACTGGGGAAATGGCTCAGGCTATGGCACAGTTCCGTGGCCGTAGTCTGCATATAGGCCTACTTAGTTAAAATGCAAATTGTGTCAGATTGTTACAAAAGACGCCAACCAAGAACATGATATAGTTAGAATCCAGGCACCCGTACAAGCCTGCCAAATATCTAAGAATCTAACAAAACAGCAAGGCAAAGATGAAGTGAAAACTTAAACTCACACAGGAAAAAAACTTAAAAACAAACACATACTTGATCAAATGTAATGTCCAGATTCCCATTTGATTCACCCATGCCCTTGAGGGAAGGGAGGGGAAAATAGCAATAGGACCAACAATGCACAAAACCAAAAATGGGAAAAGCATTTCAGTATGTTCCCCAATGTGCTGGTCAGGTTTAAATGTGGTCCTATAATGGCAGCTGTTATCTCATCATTGCCACAGCATAGGAACAGAAGAAGGGACAAAGACTGGTCCCCAGCTCCTCTACATCACCTCAGAGTCCAGAAATTTGTGACCCAAGTCATCATCACCAGCAAGTGGATGTTCACATTTTCACACATTTCCAACTTTATGTCCAGCTTGTTGAAGTTACGTGCATTTCAACACTCTTGCTGCATTGAGTAACTGACTTCTCACCATGAGACACGACCCTGAACTTATTAGATGCCCTGACAGTGGTGCCAGGAACTCTGATCTGTCAGCAGGCATTGACCAGACAAGACAGACAGCGACAGCTTTTCTGAGAAGGACTAATGTGAAGCTCAGTTGCATCTTTAAACCATCTGAACTTGGAACGACAGGTGCAATGGAAGCCTCACTTCTGGGAAGGTCACACAACCTGGCTACAGATGGAATGATGCAGGCTTGGGATCAATTAGACAAACAAACTAAGACTGCAGTTGACTTCTTGATGGTATGGATCATCACACTGAATAGAGGAAACCATTTTATAGCTATATTTTTTACTTTTTAAGAGAAAGGATCCCATCCCTGGTATAAATTAAAAGAATTACCCATAGCTGTACCACAGAAACAAAAACATTGTTTTTCTTAGAAGCCCAAAAGCTTTACAATTACATCCTATATGGTTGTGTAACACTTCCTGTGCTAAGTCTAACTTTTCACAAAATACTGACAACTTCTTAGAGAGTGCTGAGCCAGGCAAAGTGGCTAGGGGGATAGACTTCTAACAATGGTGCTTGCTGGTGTTCTCATAAAGAAATCACTGAGTGTTGAAGACTCTTTGACACTGTAAAACACTGAATTGTCCCGAGGATGTGTTACACTGCAGACCTGCTCTGATGAAGTGTGTGTATATCAACTGTCCCTCTGTGTCAACATCCTACTTGGTAACAGTCCAAGAATCTCCTCAGGCATAACCACATTTTCACCTCTGTGCTTGCCAACAGGTCATACAGACCACAAATTTTACAGTGACAAAAGCTCTGTGTACGGGGTGATGCATTGCACCCAGTATGACTCCCTGAGGTGCCTTTTAAACAGACCTTTCAACAGCAGGCGAGGCAGTAACTGACCCGAAGCTGCCAGCTTTGACTGGCACCTGCCTCTGCCGTGTGTTAGGGGATAGCGTGTGGTTCGGCAGGCCAGGTTTTGTCTGGGCCAGTGAGGGGGCTACATGTGCTGATGGCAGCTGAACAAAAGGCTGACCTCCTGTCATGTTGAGTGGGCCATTTTAGAACAGTCAACAGGTGAAGCATCCTGCAGCTTTCCAACACAGCTCCACCACTGATTAACTCTCAAGCCACATTTACATGTGTACAATCATGCAAATACTTTATCCAAATGGAAATGGTATCAAGAAAACTGTCTATAACATATCAAATACTAAACTTTCACAGCTTCGTCACTGCTCAATTAAGCTTTTTTTCTTCAAACCTTTGGCAGCCAGGTGTACCAGAAAAGCTATGTTACCATGACTCAGCACAATCAATGGAGGGAAATCAAACTGATATTCTTGTTTCTGCAAATGTGTCATTTATATGCATGCTACCTTACACTTTCTTAACTGTATTACAATTTGCATTTAGTGCATGAATATGTGGACGACACACAAACCATTCAGGTCAGCAATCTCACTTTTCCCCCCACTGTGTTAGCTCATGGCCATATTTACGAGTAGGTTTCACTATTTTATCAGCAAACAAGGGCAGAGTATGTAATGTTTAGTTAGCAGTTGGCTCATAGGAGAGACAAATCAATATTTACCAACAGTTGACTAGTTTTGTGACTTCCTGCTGTTAAGTTGTCACAAATGCAAACACGTGTCAGTTGAGCCTCACCTATGACTTCTGTTATGTAAGCGGTATCTCTCAACTGTCACCATGAGATCTGTGCTTTGCCCTAGTCTATAATGAATCTCAAGTAACAGCAGACTGGGCCTCCACATAGCATGCAACTGTCTCTGTTGCCATGGTAACAAAACTTGTCCCAGGACTGGGAGCACTAAAATTCCTGTCAAAATTAACTGGGGATTTAGTAGAAGCATGGCAGAAATTACATGCATGTTAAGCCTGACACAATTAATTCTGAATTCAAATCAATATCAAGATCAACCACTGAACTACACAACATTTTGAAAGAGTATTCACACCAGCCCACACATACATGCTGCAAACAAATCAACAATACAAGCATTTGAACTTTGGACTTTTGTTTTTTTGATGCTGTGCAGATAAAGACATATTGTGAAAGCAGGGAGGAGGAAAAACTATTGGCAGACTGAATGTACTGTAATGTAAATCACATAAAACATTATATCTAACTTGTCATTGCAGCCATGTAAGAGATTCAATGTTAATGTGAAAACAATGAACAATTTAAGCATGGATTTTATATTTTAACCACAGGTCAGAAGTGTACATTCTCTTCATGTCTTAAGGTCTACACTTTCAGTAGCGGCCCCTCATTAAAGCCTTTCAGAGGTTAAAGTCTGACCTCTCGCTATCCCATCTATAACCAGACAGCATAGCATGGATTCCCAGCAGTCAGGGCAGTATGACATAGTTAGTCGGGGTAGTGCAGTGGGCTGAATACTCAGCCAGCTAATACCAGCTTTAATAATGGAAAATTACAACAACACCTGATATTTTGGTCAATGTGTTTATACATATACTGTATAGACTACCTAACATGCATACTTCTCTCCAACCAGGCTGTGTGCCTGCAGATTTCACCATTTAGCACCTTCAACCTGTGCTGTTTGGTCTAAATAAAAAATGCCTGTGCCCTTCAGCAGGACTCCAAAACAAATGAGATTTTTGTATTGCAAAAGCCTGCTTCAATGGTCGGCAAGATGAGACCATTTCTCTCAGTCTTGCTGACAAGTCAGGAACCTTGCCAAAAGACAGTCCCTCAGTGACAACGGATGCTTGCCAGACCACATTAAATGCCACATATTATCCATGGTGTCTGGAATCTTAGTGGGGGGTGCGGGTGCTGATGGGTAGGGTCGCTGTGCATTGAGCATGGTGGGGTGGGACGTTTATCCATGAAGCGCTTCCCTATAAGGTCATCTCTCTCTAGCACAATAGGAGCAGATGAGGGATCCTCCTCTCTATACTGCCCCCCACATGAGCCCCGTTCCTACCACCAGACGCCGCAACTTCACAGGGAGCAGAAAACAAACACACCGAGTTCTGCTGCGAGAAAAGGCCAACATCCAAATCTGCAAGCCCTTAACACCGAACTGTAGCTGGCAGCATAGAGTGTGAGCTGTTATGACAAGGACTGAAATCCACTGGAAGGAGCTAGTGAACTTCACATGTGATCATCTAACATCATATTTGAGGCGCTAGTTAAGCAGGGAAAGGTAATCCTTCATTGGATTTTGGCTGGTGGCACCAGCACATCCTAAAACTAGTGCAAATGTAGATTATAGTAAAACCACCGAATGATTTGGCTGAGCTACACTGTTGTGAACAAGTCTTATCAACCTGACGACTGCATGAAACTCTGGCCTTGTTGCTTCAAGGTCAGATTTGACACTGAACTACAAAGATGAAACCAAGCATAAAATAATCTAGTTTAGATAAAAGTCTTAAGAAATGCATTACACAGAACGTTATTTCCATGACATTAAACAAATTTCAGTGAGCATGCGACTGTGATTCCGATAAGTGATGAGGTGTGAGTAGGAGGCAGCATTCAAACCCACAGCAACACCCTGACGGAGGGCAGCACATATTGGCTGCAGGCTATTCTTCTCACGGCTGAGGCAGCCACAGAGGGCTCCTCTCAGTGTCCTCTACCTCGGCTCAGCAGCCAGCCGGCCAGCATCTGCGTCATCATACTCCTCCTCTGCATGGCAGGGGTCACTTTGCAGCTTCAGGAAAATATTATTCATACAAAAAAGGGAGCCTGAGAGGAACCATTGTACAAGATATTAGGAGGATTTGGGAAGCAAGTTGAGCTGATGAATGTCTTCTGACTGCGGGATAAAACATCCGCTTTTACTCCCTGCAGGGCTGCATTTTTGAGTAAGCCTCAAGCTGCTGACAGCAAAGCCTCCAGCAACCTTCTTCAGGAGCTTTCAAATAACTAGGTCTCCAATATGCAAGAGGAGAGCGCATCTGCCAAATAATTAAGCTTTCTACACACCACTTTGCCTGAGGCACGTAACCAAAACTTTCAATTTCATGATTAGCGCCGTCAACCAAAAACAAATTATATATAGTATAACAGTCAAAATCAAAAAGCAAAATTAGGCATTTTAACTCCCTGTATACTCCTTCCCCATTTGTCCTTGTCAAGGTTACTCAGGAGTCCTGCTGAACACTGTCCCACGTCATCCATTGTAGCAATGTTTCCCTGAGCAGGATGGGAGGGGCATGCATGGGGTGGGACCAGACACCTGTCATTTCCACGACTGTCACTGCCTCTATAAATACAGCATTCCATAATCTAACCGGCCTATGACAGCCACAAATAAAACCCACCACTATGCACAGAAAAAATATGCATCACTTTGGTGGCTTAGGGTTAAACAGAGTATCAAGATAACGCTAGTGTTTCATTCCTCATCACATCTCCGCCTCTGTTCATCCCTCTGCAAAATTGTATATACATGTGTATGCCGTGGGGCAAACCGCTCTCTTAAAAACTAAAGCTTTACATCCTGAGGATTTTGGCTGCTAAAATACGCTGACTGGGCCTCAGCAGCATGAATCACTCCAGCTCTCCAGTTCACATGCTGCATGGAGGGGAAACTGTTGGGTTGGGAGGAGCTGTGAGGGTGCAGTAGCAGCATGTTCCCAGAGTGAGCTCAAATTGAATGTGTGTGGACAAATACACACACACACAGAGCAATGGGGGCCTTAATAGCATTTGCGCCTAGCCCTTTGAGACAATGGGTTAATAAGAACATCTCAAAATACATCACTCTTGCAGGGTGAGTCACCTCTGCAGTGGCACATGGGGATGGGGGAGGTTTCAATTCCAGCTTGTGCTAAACGTGATCCGTGACCATACCTGGACTCATTTGATCTGCCCACAGTAGGCTTTACCTAAGGCACAGCCAAACAGCGGCAAACTATCACATCGAGATCTCTTCTTTAATCTCCTAAGAAAAAGCAGCATATGGAAAATACACTCTTCACTTGATAGTAGCTGCAGTGGCATTAAATTGCCACTTTTCTGTGTATTTCAAGGTTCATGTGATGTCTAAATGTTTCCTTTAAGCTACAAATCAAACCAACACATACAACAGTGTAACAACAGAATAAGGTTACAACAACAGCAACAAAGCCATGTCCGTTTAAACATGAACAATGTCAAGAGCAGGTCAACCTACCAGCAACCTCCACGATGTCGCCAGGCACAATGTCTCTGGCTTTGATCCTCTGCACAGTTTTCCTGTCCTGCCGGTACACTTTCCCCATCTCAGGCTCATACTCCTTAAGTGCCTCAATGGCATCTTCAGCATTGCGTTCCTGGTGGGGAGGAAATTGATTGATTGCACAAGATTTTTGAGTTGCTCTGAGATGAACTGATAATATCACATAAACTAATACATGCATGTCTAAATGGAATGAGAGCATTTCCTTTTGAAGAGGCAGTGACTATTCTAAGCTAGGTCTATTTGACTGGGTTTTGGTTGGGGACATTTAGCTGTTCAGTGTATGGAAATGTGAATATAAATCACATCATTTTCTGCCTCTTGACATTTTCCAATTTTATCCTTCACCAGCATCTTCATCCTTCATCAGCAAGAAAAACACATCACTCAGTGGACTGCCCACACATTTTTTAAATAAATAAAGCAAGCCTCATATATAAGCGTCATACAGACCGACTGCTGATGACAACTAACAGACTGCTCCTTTTCAATAGGAATCCTTCTTTGAGACAAAAGTAACTTCCAGCACACAGTATTGATCTACAGTGCAAGTCAAGTAGAAACATTTGTTAAAACTTAAACCTTACAGCAGGCTGCAACAGTGATGGATATGTTAAATTCAGTGTCTACACTCATATTCAGCTTTAACATTAGCACAAGAGCAGGTTTGGCATAGTCTGTTCACACTGGTGACTAAATTTAACTGTTAACTCTTACGCAATCTAAATCATTTCTGTTGAAATTGCGTCAGAGAGGTGCTGATTCAACTTTTTGGACGCTGCTGTTCACGATAACGTTGCAATAGATTAGAGTGCATTAGGTGCATGATCAACTTGATGAAGGTAGGATATTCATTAGGAGACATTAGAAGGTACTGGATTGCACTGGATTAAATGAGGCAGCTTTCAACACCGTGCTTACTTAAGGTAATGCATTGATTTTAAAAAAGGTATTAAAATGGATTTCACATGTTTAAATGCCAGCTTATTATCTGAAGAGGTTATCCTTAAACACGTACTCGTACTGGTGAAATCAACAAAGCTAGGTTTCAATGCATGTAGAAAAGCAAGCAATATGTACAACTATTTTACAGAAAATTCATTATTCTTCTGAAACGTGATTGATTTAATATAAAAATACATTAAATCTGGACAATCAAAACAAAAAAATTCTAATAATTCTAAGACCTATACCACAGATACAAAGGAGGTGTAGTGGGATTTAAATACTTCCTTGGAAAGTTTCTCACCTGCCACACACCGACGATGGCATTGGCTATAAGAATGAGTAAAATTACAAAAGGCTCCACAAAGGCGGTGATAGTTTCTTCTCCTTCCTCAAACCAGGCTAGGACCTGAAAACAGTACAAGAAAAAGGTCAATTTTTATTTCATAGAACAAGCTTGAAGAGAGAGCTTTTGTGACAGCAGTATTTTATTCCTATAATATGAAGGTTTAGCTGTTTGTCAACTGCCAGAAGATTGACATCAAAGCCAGAGATCAATCACCATCATCATCTCATACAGGCCTTATAGAAATCTGTATTTACTGGGGAAAGAACCATATACCACTGCACGTAAACAATTCATATCATACCTGGACTGGACTTTCCTGTGATTAAATCAAACTTTGGAAATTTAAAGGTTTCAATGTTCTGAACTTCCGTCTACTACAAGCAGTGCATTTATTCAATGTGGGCAACTGTTGTTATTCTCCTGTGGATATTTGTAATTGATTTTTTTAACCGACAGCACTGCACAACTCATTCTGTGTAGGAATGCAAGCTTCTTTATGAGCAATTGATTAAAAAATTAACATAGTCAAAAAGACGACTGTACACAACTCTGATAAAATTACAATATTTTGACCTGGAGTCTCATTTAGCGTGTTGTTCCAGAGGAAATTACCCTAAAATTATCCTGTGTGCCAGAAGCAATTAGTTTATGTCTCATAACTTAATAAAGCACTTAACCTTAATAAGAGGAAGTATCTAACTGTGGTAGATGCCAAAGACAATTAAAATGGCATTACTTAAATGGCAAGCGTAACTCTTAATAGCTGTGTCAATACAGAATCACAGGGCTCAGTAACTCTTTACTGTGTGTCCTAACACGACCAAGGGATTTACATTACTTAGGCCTAGCCTAAAGCAAGAAATGTATATACATACTACGGCTGCAACCTACTAATCATTTTCATTATCTATTCAACTGACAATTAATTTTTTTAAATAATCAAATAATAGTCCTTTATACTTGTCAGAAAATAGTGAAAATGTCTGTCACAGTTTCCCCAGGTGACGCTGTTAATGACTTATTTTGGCTGACCGAGGCTCAAAGATATTCAGTTTACTATAATATAAACCTGACAACACATTGGAGGAAGCTGGAACAAGAGAATTAGTCACATTTTTACTTGATGAGGACTAATCAACTAATTGTTGTAAAATTAAATTATGCAAACAGAACTAATGAAAAGCTGTACTAGTTTAAAGATTTAGTTTTGAGAAACTACTTCAGCAGTTAGCCAACCGTTTTAAGTTGTATTCAAGTATGGAGTGATTCTGTGTTAAGATGGGCATGTGCATTTGTCCGATGAGAGCCCTCCCACTGAGGGATGAGGGCCCAAATTTGGTCTTGAGTGGTGCTCTGTTCCCCTGTCAGACAGCAGCCACTGACACCTCTGTATCACCTGACTGGACACTGCACACTATACCCCCCCCCACACACACACACGGGGGCCTCGCTTATCAAAATGTTCTTCAGCCATCTGTTCTACTGTCTACTGTGCAGACGTTTCACATAATGTGAAAAAAACTAAAATTGCTAAATTGAATCATGCATCATACAGTGCCAATAATCAATTTAATTTAATCTCTAATTGGCAGTTACATTTCCAAAAAAATGTGCACTTTTCACATAAATCTGGTGATACAAATATTGCAAAAATAAAAACGCAGTTGTACACGAAGCCATGTCTTTCCACATGACAACACAACAACAAGATGTTCATGTGATTGAGCTATGGCCTCGAACACGTGCTGATGATGCTGGCACATAATGGCAGTCCACTATTAAACATTTATCTGTCTAGCACTCAAAGTCGGACGCCCGAGGGAGGACCATGGTAAGTCATTACACAGCAGCCATGCTTGACGACTCAAATGTCTTACTTGGCACATGGTGATAGCAACTCAATGCAGCTACTGCTGTTGTCACCATTCCTCAGACGGGCCGCTAGCCTTCTCAGCTGTTTAGCTCTCTAATATGCGAGTGTAACCCCGGCCGGGTAACACAAACTGAAGACGTTAACACTTCAGCACCATGCACTGCATAAACTGTCCCCCTGCCATTCAACACACAGGGCTTAATAATAATCCCATCTGCAATTTTGACTTCACTAACACTCTTTCAGCCAGAGGTGGAAAGCTGTTTGTAGGATGCAATGACTTGTACTGATATTCCTTTCACTCTTTAGATTATCTGTCTTGTTTACTGGACAGAGACTTTAGAGAGTAAGAGATGGTGGGAATGTTAAGATGAACACACAATATCATAAGTACAGGAGACACTGGAAAAAGATTAATTCAAGTTAGGAATGAAAGAATCTCCTCCCAAAGTCCACACTGTGTAAAATACAGGCTTTATCAAGCAGCGCAAGAAAATGTAGTGACATACTTACAAAAGAAATACATGCAGCCAGCAGCAGAATTCGAACAAGAAGATCTTCAAATTGTTCAAGGACAAGCTCCCACAAAGATTTCCCTGCAGCAAGAAAAGTTAGTTTAAAACAATTATCCATCACAGAAACATGTTATGAATTTGACAGTAACAATATCAGTGACAGTAGTCATTACCTTCCTCTGCTGGTAACTCTGTGTGTGTAGAGATGTGGGAGTCAGTCCGGGGAGTGCAGAGGAAACAGTCAAAAACAGAAAAGAAAAGGAAGATAAGCAGTGTATAAATATATATATTTTTAATGTCTGCCAGCTGGAGATATGCCTCTCAGTTCCTGTTTCTTCATGGGGAACTGACTCCTGGAACAAGAGGTCAGTATGTTCTGAGAGACTGAGGAGTGTTACCTTGAGGGAGCGAAATCTCAGACACAAGTTGGATTCAAAACCAACACATTCCCAGTTTGACTTCACATTTTGATGATTCGATAATGGTTTTGACTCACATCCTGATACTGAAAGATGAAGTGAGGGTATGGACTTGTTTCATTATTAAACAGGAAAGAATCATATAGCCATATTTAATCCCCCCTCTGTATTTATATATCAGGTATACACTTGTAACAATGGCATACAAGTTTACTCCCTTCATCTTTACTACACAATAGGAAAACTCCAAGCAATGTGAAGGTCAAAGTGATTTAAGGGGAGGGAAGTATACCCTTCATGAGCTCCCAGGTGATATTAATATAAAACAGCTGTTTAAGCCTGGGACAAGAGAGATTAACTTTGAAGGGTAACGTTCAGCGTCAAATGCCAGCCGGATCTCCAGGCACATGGGGCCGATGTGTTGCAGTTTTGCTTTGAGATCATCCGACAAGGTTACCGTGTTCAACAATGTCACCATATTTTACAAAACAATCAGCATTGTCACCATGAGGTTATGTTTAACCATGTTATCACAGTCAACAGTGTAACCGTGATACAATGCTACACGCTGATACAATGCCGAGTAAATGTCACCATACGTAACAATGTCTCCATGTTCCACAATGTAACAATGTCTCTCTATGTAATGATTAATTTGTTACTATGTGAGAGATGGGAAACCCTCGAGGTCACCAGTGATGACGTCAACAAATCACTTCACGGAGCCGGGTGATACCGGTCGGCCGTGTGGATGACTTTTACCCCACATCCTGAATACTGTGCGCACAGGGCACATGTAATAATGACAAGACATTTTTAAAAAAAAAACCCGTATCTCACTGACAGCGGCGGTGTTTGTGGTGGTCTACAATGTAAATTGTCGTACCGTTTAGGCCCCATTTCTCCCTCTGACGTTTCACCTCGTCCAGGGAAAGTCCTGTGCTTTCATTGACGCAGAAATAACTGTAAACTTCTTCCACACTCTTCGTGTGAGCGTTTTCCATGGCGGACAGACGGCTCCTTCCCACACAGCTTTACACGAAATACTGCCGTATGGTACCTTCTGGCTCTTTAAAAACTGCCGATACTTTCAAAGGTATGAGGAGTTTGCCGAACTGAGCATTAACACTCGGGTAGCTATCGACAGCTATTGACCGCGGTCTAATGTGTCCCCCTGGCCCCTACTTAAGATTTTCTTCCCGCGAATTACGGAAGAAAATGTTGTGTGGAGCCAAAGTCCTCCTCTCTGTGTGGATGAAGATTACTGTGAGCGTCCTCCTATCCCCGAAAATGGTGGAAAAGTGTCTGCAGCAGTGTCCTGTGTTAAGAACTGCATTCACCCGGTCCAGTCTTCTGCTGTTTTACCGTGCCGTGCCGTGCCGTGCCTCACCGTGGCGCAGCTCTCTGTGGCTCCACACGGTGCTGACAGTCTGCTTTTATCAAAGTGCCTCACTGCTGCCCCTCTTCCCTGCGCTGCATGTGGACTAATATCATTGGACGAGCGGTGTCAGCTACGTTCAAAACCAGGGAGACATGAAAAAACACAGGAAGCAACCAGGAAATAGCAAGCTGGAATACATGCTCCCATTCAAACCTTGAGTTTGCTCTTCTAAACCAGAAAGCTAGGGGCCATTTCTGTTTATTTTAATGTTTTTTGTGTTGCCCGCCGTGTCGGCTTTAACGTAAATGGCTGGCTACACTGTAAGTTATGTTTGTGGTGGAAATATAGAGTGCTATTCCTGTTATCTGTGCCTCTACCACATTATGTTTTTTAATGAAAAAACACATGACGCAGTATATGCGTCGAATGCGGCTCTTTTCTTTCTTACTTTTTCTTTACTTAATTTTTGTTAATGAATTTTATGTAGCCACTCCCGGCTTCCATAGTCTCCTTTTATGGCGGCGTTAACTGTGCTAGAGAAAGAACCAGTGTCACTACTGTTACCACATAGAAACACTTTTGCCATACTAGTGTTGGAAGCTTAAAAAGCACAGTACCTGCTTGTATGGATTCACCAACAACTTTACAAGTTTCCCTCTGACTACAGGAATCTCATTACAGAGGCCCAATGTCTTATTGTATTACTACCTCATTTACACTTGACTAGGGGGCCCATGTTTTCCTTTGGCAGGAATGAGTTAAGGCTTAAAGTAGAGAACAAAAAGGTGGGCCACAGATCAATGTCCCAGCCTGACAAGGGATTTACAGTGTGCTATAAGGACAAAAACTGAGGGACATTTTCAAACAAACCAGTGCCTCAAGATAACATATGAGAGTCTTATTTGTTAGACACAATCAATAAAACCAGACTTTACCTGATTAATCAGCTACATCTGCATAATAACTGTAAAGGCAGCCAATTTGCTAAAGAGGTGAGAGGGCCAACCCCCGACCCCCACACTGTGTTCTTCAGGGGGGTAAGTATCACTGTCAGATGTTTTACAGGACTGGCGTGCATCATCTGTTAACACGTCTTAATAAGGTCCCCAAGAAGCAAAAGGTGCTGTAACAATAATAACATGGCACTGCCCGGTTGGACATCAAGCTGCCTTTTACAATGCACACTTGATCCGTTTGGCACAAGAGCCACTAACATCGGCTGTCAGCAGCAGATTAAGTTTCTGTGGGAGGGAGGGTGGAATCCTGAAACATCCATGAAGACATTTGTTGGGAACAACATGAGGCACTCAAAACATAGTCTATATGGACAGAAGTGTGTGCTATGCTACTTGCTAAAAAAAGTCATCAAACGACAGTGCAGGGACTTTACATGTATTTTAAAATTGATTTACACATAATTATGGGATTATGAATATATGTCTTTCCTCTTGTAAACTGCATCTGTCTTGTTATGTATGACATGATATAATATACATCTAGCATGAAACATGAGTCAAAATGAATATAAAATACATTTAATAGAAATACAGACAACCAAAATGATCTTAAATATCAATGATTATCTTGAAATATATCATAGAAAAATAAAGTATGTTGTGATACAGAATAGAAATATTATATAAGATAGATAGAATAATATGACTATTTCATCTGTGCTGTCCAAGCAACGGAGGTCCCAGTGAATTCCAAAATTGGCAAGACACCCTGTCCAAGGTCATGGTGGTGGTTGCCAGAAATAGTTGACCGAGGCCACATCCCAAGTGCACCACTTTGTATGCTGTTATCTTTGGACACTTTGATCGAACATGTATTCTTAAAGATGTCGCCAAAATGGAGTCCCCAGGGGCCAGAGACGGTGAAAACCCAGTGTCAGACAACACCTCTCCATACACGTGTTGTTTAAGTTGAGGATTCTCAAAAGGATCTCAGACCGTGTCATCATCAGAAGTTACCAGTCTGGTTTGTACCCAAGATAAACTATCAAGTGAAACTCAATGGCAGTCGGTCACAGACGAGATAGAGGGAAAGACCATAAACAGTTTACATAAAACGACTATATTGTAAAAAGATTTAGACATGTTACAGGAAGGTATACAATATGAACTCTGTAGTCAGTGCATTGTGGGTGACCCCGCCCTACATGTGTCCTCACAGCACCAGCCTGTCCTCTCCTCCCTCCTGGATGACCTGACCAATAGATGCCTGGCTCTGAGCTCTTATGAAGCACTGCTTCTTGCACTCCATCAGCTGCTCCAGGTCACGCCACAACTTCATCTGCTCCATGTTGGCGCCGTGGCTCTCCCTCACCATCTTCTGCTTCTCACGTAACTTCTGGAGTCAGCAAAGGAAAAGAGTGATTGGTAAGGAACTATTTAAAATGGCACTTATCTCTACAACACTAGTCCGATGACAATTGAATGATTGTATTAGAGGTCCAGTGTGTAACATTTAGTAGCCCAGAATGGACAAACCAAACACTGGCTCTATATAGGGCCATGTTTTTTGCGTGTCCTGGGCCACCATAGTTTCATCATCATGCTTGGAAGAGGAGGGTGAAGTGGGGAAGTTGCAAACTGCACCACTAGATGCCATTTAATCTTACACACTGGCCCTTTAAGAGGCCATTTCGCGTTAACAAAAAATATATAATCCATCTACATTACTGTAAGCTTCCAGTAAGTTTCCCTGTCTAGTCTGTTGTCAGACCATGTTTTTGACAGAATAAAGAAATATTCTGTAAATAAGTATTGACCCATGGCATCTGCTAGGTCAGTTCTTGGACACAACTTTTCTCACCTTGCCAAGTAACTCCTGTTCTGAAATGTTCTTCATGTACACTTCCCTACAAAAAAAGCAGAAGGATATAATTCAAATTCAAGCCTTTGCAATTTCACATGTTGATCTCACCCAATGTTTCTAAATAAAAGGTGTGGCGTATCAGCATATCTTGATATCACAAGGTGTGGTAATGAGTTTCCGACACATTCGCTGTGCTGTATGAGAGAATAAAGTGACAGCAGCTAAACTGACTGTGTTGTAATAAGAGCCTCATGTGGAAGAAAGGGTATTGGTCTTGTGAAGCAGCTGGCTGGCCAGGCTCAGCATGCTCACCTGATGGCCTTCTTCCTCTCTTGTGGATCAGAGGACACGTAGGCCTTCATCTCTTCAGCTGCCCGCTGTATTTGCATCTCAACGATCTGTGGAGGACAGAGATAGAGAGATTGAGTTTATTGTTACAGTGGAGGGTTGGGAGCAGGTCACATGCAAAATGCTGCAACATTTTATCCACTCCTGCAGCACCCCTGTGGGTAGCATGTCACTGAGTATCAATTCTAATTTTATAATACTGGCAGAACAGTGATAACGATGGGTGATACAGCCACTGTGGCTAATAGCTAAAATGTTTGCTTCTTTCTATCTTTTTAAAACACTTGCCTCTGACATGGCGTTGATATAATGATATTGGTTTTCCTCCTGTGCCGTCTCCTCCCTCAATGCTTTCACCTCCTGCGAATGAAAAACAATAACAAAGACATATTGTGTGTCGCTAAGGTAAGTAATTAAAAAATAAGAACACTAGTTAAGCATAGAGAAATATTTAAAATGATTGACTTAATTCACTCTAGTATAGGATAATTATTAATTAACTATACCTGCTCCAATTTAGACCTGTTGCTCTCCAAACCAGCAGTACAACTTTCGTATTGCGCCTTCTTTTCCTCATATTCCTGGCTTATTTCCTGGTAAGACAGGAATCCAAACATTCATACACAGGAACTGAGTGACAAAGGATGTAACATACTGTACGCCGTATGACAATTGAGACAAATACATGAAATACCCCGTTTCCAAGCCTCTTGTCATACTCTCAGCGCTGTTTCACATCAACATAACATCACAGCTGGCATTTGAGCAGTTTAACTTACAACAGGCTCTTACAAAGTCTATTTATGTCTTCCTGTTGCAGCTCTTCATTAGCAGACATTACCCAGCGAGATGGAAGAGTGATTCTGGGAACACGTGTAGGAAAAAGTAATCCTCCGCTTTAGCACGGCGATGTGTGGGGGGATTTCCCATTGTGCAATTTATTTATGGACAATGTAAATTATTCTTAATGGACCCTGTCTGTGATAACACAAAAACAAGTTAACTCTTACTGCAGGCACACAGTAAAGGTCCCACCATTTGTTTCTAAATCTGGTACAGATTCATAACATACCATGTTTTTACTTTGGCTTTGCAGGGAGAATTTGAGAATCATTTGTGAAATGTGAGAGCTGCTACAACATCCTATACACTGTATGTATTATTGCATAATAATGTGTATTTTCTGAATGACTTAAATCCCTTTTATATCAGATTAGTGACTTACCAGACTCTGTTGACCCCCCATAAGGACGGCTCAAAGATCAGTATCAACCACTTGCCTGGATTCTTTTATTTTTATTCATTTATTCTTTTATTCCCGAGTTGTGTGTAAAAAGGACAGAACAATGACTCGTCATGGCTTTTGGGTAATTGATATGGTGTGAGGAGTCTTTGAAGTAGATGTGTTGTAATGCGGGCAATGCTCACCTGACACCGCTGTCTCAGTGACCTCAGCTCTTTTATAATTGGTGCTAGAGCTGACTTCTTATCCGTTATCATTGAGTTCAGCTTCTTCACCTGTAAAACCAAGTCCATAGCACATACTGCATTAAATTGAAAAACAAAACAAAAAACAACATGAAACTTACAATAACCATGATGTAAACTAAGAGGAGAGGAAATGGCATTTTTTGCTGAAATTTGCAACTTTGTACACATTTAAAGTCTGCAGAGAAAACAGCACAGCAGGTAATACGACTGTGAGTAATGATTTACTGAGATGATGTCAGCATTATCAACCAGAAATATGATCAACATTTCTCAGTAGAAGAGTGTGTCTATAGCCACAGTGCAGGTTGTAAGGCCGTTTGCTAAGTATTCATTAAAACATTTTTCAGATTTATGGCTTTGTAGTGCATTTCCAAGTTCCAGTGTAAAGGTCTAA